CATCTATGGGATCATGAGACGTCCTGATTTTGCAGAGTTAGGCACGTTCCTGGCTCAACACATTTTATTTGGTGCTGGAACAACATTCCTGTCCATATTCCTAGCTCTAAACCTAACCCTACCCATAAATTATTCTAAAATCAGAGGGAAATTAACACTGAAGTAGAAGCACCTAACCCTGATTGTAAGCCTAAACTTGACATAAACTGTAAATCTGTCCCTCAAATCTGATTGGTTGATTGGACTGTTGTTCTAGGATCAACAAAGATGTTGATCCAGGAACATGTTGCTCTTGGTGAAATCAGGTTCTGTGGGATGCGCACCACAGATGCTATTCATAGACAATATAAGTTCAAAATAACTATTCCTTTAACTCCGAGCACAGCTGTCTTGAGATGGAGGTCAAAGTTCAGCTACATCCAGAATGCCGACACACCAATGAACAAAGAAGCCTATTGATCTGAGACTTCTTAATCTTATCTGATATCTACTGATGTGAATATGGCTGGCGTGGAAAGCGAGGTCAGGTTATCAGATGCATTACATCAGGTAATCATCCATGCTGCTGACATAATGCTGAACTTCCAACTTCCAGCTTTTATGCAACAGGTTTGGAGGATTGTGTAACGTGTTTGGAAAACAAACAAGAATTATTAAGGTGTTGTCAAATTGCTAATTTTCTATTGAATTGTCTCATTATGCTGTCAGGAACCAGGAACCACTTCTAAGAACAAGTTAAAACTTTCCTCTGTATTCCTTAGTTCTAGGAACGACTGGGGAAAATGCCCATTCTCCCATATCAAACGTCATTCATTACAGGAAATCAAACACCACACCCAAGTTATATGATCAGGATTCAAAGTTGCTCTTGAAATGCAGTCGATCTATTACTGGAAGTCAGCTGATAGATTGATTATTTTGGATTTTATTTCTAAGAAAGGGGTCCTGATATCTGTTTGAGAAGAGTTTGCAAAATATTCAATATTCTGCTTAATAAACTGGTTTAAGAAATTTCCCTCACAACAACATTGCTTTACCATTATATGAGAATCGATACAACTTTTCATGGAACCACAGTGGTCGAATAACTATACCAAGAAAGTAAACTGCATAAAAAACAGTTGTAAACATTTGGTGTCTAAATATAGTGTCTAAGTGACTAGATGACATCACCAGCAACTCACCCAGTGAAACCAAAGTCTAAGAATAGATTCTTTGCCAGTATCTCACTGCTGTGTTAGGGCAGGTTTGGATTAAGGAGGATAAAAAAAAAACTAAAGGAAGAAATTACTTCTGAGAGAGAATCTACAGCAGCTCATCTTTTTTTTAATAAAATCTATTTAAGAAAGAACTATGTGCAGGTACTTTTAAGTATTTTTAGCTGCCATTTTGAAAGAAGCTCCATGCAGGTGATCTTTAATAAAGTATTTGACTTGTGTGCATTATGATTCTTCAGGTTTGTTTCTCCATATTCTAAGCATTCTGTAAATATATTTTCATAATAGTTACAGTCACCATGACAGCTATAGGACAACAATTTGAACACCAGCCCCCGAACAGTGGGCAGTTTGGACATCTGAAATTTGGTTAAGCCTGAGTGTTGTGATTCGATCACATGCTGCTGTCACACAGTTGTACGTTTCTCACCTTATTACCTTATAAACACCTTATAAATTACCTTATATCACCTTATAAACAATCGGCCTTTGGAGTCATTTGCAATGTGTAGTCACCATCATATAAGGAAACAGGGACGTTCTTTCCTGGATTTACAAACATTGATTAGGCCAGTAAAACAGCACAAAGCTTGTGCCAAGTCAAAATGGTGCTGAAGAACACAAATCATTTAAAGGCTTAGGGGTCATTTACAAAGAACGCATGATTAAAAAATATTACAGAATAGTCTGAATTGTGAGATATAAGATATAAACTCAGAAATGCGATTAAAAAGTTGATAAACAGGTATTTTTTATTATGTGGTGGAAGTAAGCCTTCAAAATCATTAGCGTGTGTGAGAAAAAATGATAGAGGGTGTGTATGTCACACAGGTGAGAATTGCAGAAATACTGTATAAGCATGATGTGTCAGTCTAGTTGCCATGACAACATAAACACAGACATCAGATTTAAGCAGATATTAATCTACACCGCAGCTGAAGTGATATGTGTGCATGTATACGTATCTGTGTGCACTGACGAACCACTAACCACGTTGCAGCAAAAGTTTCTGCATATGTGTAATGTGTGTTTGTTATTTTGTTGATCCCTCTGACTTACATTGTTTTTGGACCGTGAAAAATTTATAAGCATTTCATCACATGACTTGTGCCAACATTTCACTGTTTTCACAACATTGCTATGAGCTATGAGCAGGCTTGGGCTAGAGTTGAAGGTGGATGTAAGGATACCAGTCAGATCATGTCTAAACAAATCAACATCTACTGGAAACTCTTTCCCAAACTGAGATAAGGCACTGTTAAATCACCTCTCCAACATGTTATCTAGACCGGGACTAGTCATAATGTGTCTTCTTTTAAAGCGCAAGGAAAGTCCCATATCAGAAAAGAGTAGGTGGCAGAGAGATTGTTTGATTGCTTTGAGGAGTATGTTAAGCAGATAATGTGACTTATATCTTCTTGACAGCAACATGCACAATTACTCAAATATGTTAATGCACTGACTAGTATCTGTAGTAACACTCAGAATTCAGAAGAATTACAAAATATCACAACACACACATATAATTCAATCACATACGTTTCCTAGCAGCACTGTCTATGAAATAGGCTATGGCTGTGTCACTGTGCCCCCCAAAAATGAAAACTATTGATGTCTCTGGATGCCTCAACAACCCACTTGGACAGGTTTGGGATTTTATCTGCTGTGTTTATTTAGTCTACATGGTCTCTTTTGTATTCCTTACTCTTGTAAAGGCAATAAACAGTTTAAACTTGACCTGACATTAATCTTAACAGCTAATGATGAGGCATCCTCATGCATTCATAACCCTTAAAAGAACAATCCCATGACATTCTTGTTCACTATTACTCATAAAATTGCCTAAACTTGTTTTCGTTAAAGGCGTTAGAGAACTTCTTGATTGCTGAGTCATGTTTCATTTGCCTTTCCTACATAAAAAAAAAGGCATGTATCGAAAAACGGGAAACAACACAAATGTCTTTGATGACAAGTTAATCAAGGGCGAACAACACTCAATTCAGATTTCAAAGAACTAAAACGCTACAAATAAATAAAAATTAATACATTCACGAATGAATGAATAAATAAACAAACATGCCAATAATAATAATATTGATAATATTAATAATAAATGTTAAGAATTTAATAAAATATAGGCTACAATAAAATAAAGCAAATAACGCTAATCGGTGTATGAGTTAAACATTCATGACCAACAAACAGAACAAATTCCTCTGGAAATCGATTATACCCACTGGAATTGAAACGTTTTTATGTATGTATACACTCACCGGCCACTTTATTAGGTACACCTGTCCAACTGCTCGTTAACACTTAATTTCTAAGCAGCCAATCACATGGCGGCAACTCAGTGCATTTAGGCATGTAGACATGGTCAAGACAATCTCCTGCAGTTCAAACCGAGCATCAGTATGGGGAAGAAAGTTGATTTGAGTGACTTTGAACGTGGCATGATTGTTGGTGCCAGAAGGGCTGGTCTGAGTATTTCAGAAACTGCTAATCTACTGGGATTTTCACGCACAACCATCTCTAGGGTTTACAGAGAATGGTCCGAAAAATAAAAAACATCCAGTGAGCGGCAGTTCTGTGGGCGGAAATGCCTTGTTGATGCCAGAGGTCAGAGGAGAATGGCCAGACTGGTTCGAGCTGATAGAAGGGCAACAGTGACTGAAATAACCACTCGTTACAACCGAGGTATGCAGCAAAGCATTTGTGAAGCCACAACACGCACAACCTTGAGGCGGATGGGCTACAACAGCAGAAGACTCCACCGGGTACCACTCATCTCCACTACAAATAGGAAAAAGAGGCTACAATTTGCAAGAGCTCACCAAAATTGAACAGTTGAAGACTGGAAAAATGTTGCCTGGTCTGATGAGTCTCGATTTCTGTTGAGACATTCAGATGTTAGAGTCAGAATTTGGCGTAAACAGAATGAGAACATGGAACCATCATGCCTTGTTACCACTGTGCAGCCTGGTGGTGGTGGTGTAATGGTGTGGGGGATGTTTTCCTGGCACACTGTAGGCCCCTTAGTGCCAATTGGGCATCGTTTAAATGCCACGGCCTACCTGAGCATTGTTTCTGACCATGTCCATCCCTTTATGGCCACCATGTACCCATCCTCTGATGGCTACTTCCACCATGTCACAAAGCTCTAATCATTTCAAATTGGTTTCTTGAACATGACAATGAGTTCACTGTACTAAAATGGCCTCCACAGTCACCAGATCTCAACCCAATAGAGCATCTTTGGGATGTGGTGGAACGGGAGATTCGCATCATGGATGTGCAGCCGACAAATCTGCGGCAACTGTGTGATGCCATCATGTCAATATGGACCAAACTCCCTGAGGAATGCTTCCAGCACCTTGTTGAATCTATGCCACGAAGAATTGAGGCAGTTCTGAAGGCAAAAGGGGGTCCAACCCGTTACTAGCATGGGGTACCTAATAAAGTGGCCGGTGAGTGTATTTCTATTTACACAGAAATGTATAGGCCTTCTGCTGTGTTGTAGGCCTAAATAATACAAGATTAGAGCCTTACTTCGTTGATTTGTAGGCTACTGACATCTCTTTAATGTGATACAAAACAGTGATTGTTTTCTTTGGGAGTGCGTGCAGCTCAAATATGAGATTTGCTGCAAAGATACAGCTATGTGCGACCTAATCCAGTAACAACATTTGCATTTGATCTTCTGTCTGGTTCAGGCCTGAGAACTACATTACCCACAATCCTCTTCACTCGATCAGTGACGCGGCAGGTTTTTTCTCCGCTCATCTACAGTACACTCGAGCCACTACAACACAAAACACCACCGTCTGTTTACAGTCTCTCTAATAGCTGCGGTTGGACAACACCATTTTACAGGCATTACTTTTTTATTTAAATCCTCTGTTGTTCTTCCGAGCCCGGGACTGTCTGGGATCACAGCACATACAACGGCAGAAACAATATTTTTGTTTGAATTTTGAGGAGAAGTCTCAACACCTGCCTTTGTTAGCAAGTTAGCCTCGCGTGTCCTTATAGAAGCTCCTCATCCGTTATTCTGTGTTTTATTTATTTTTTATTTTATGTATTAATTTATTCAGTCAGACAGCAGTTGTAGCTAAACCTGTGCTAACGGAGCAGCTCTTTGTTCGTGCCTCGGAAAAAAAAAACACACCAGCACCGCCGTGAGTAACGTTACCTCATATTCACTAGAAAAATAAACAACAAAGCTGGTGTTTTATAGAATAGCATTTATTTCTTCTCTTATTCTGACTTGTTCCCTGCAATGTTGTCTGTTTTGTTATATTTTGTTTGTAAATCTTCTGGTTATCATGTTGACTTTGTTAAACAATAGGTTGTTTTTATTTCATCATTCAGTAGCCTATATAAATGCTCAGCTTATCTATGTCTGTTTATTGTGTTGTTTCAGTCTATCAAATATACTGACATAGATATGTTTTGATTTTCTAAAAGCTGAGAATAAATATCTGTAACTGAAGTTCATTTACATGTATCATTTAGCAGAGCAAAGAGGTGTCATTTAGTTAATTGTAAATGTTATATTTCTCTAGGTTTTCTGTCAGATATATACAAATGATGTGATATTTTTTTGCGTCTTGTGTTTTAGCCACTGACTTAATTGTTCATGCTTAGCAATTCGACATGTTCAAGAATAACCTAGGATTTTAGCAGTAAGTCCAGTGAACAATGAAGCCCCTCATTTTCATTTTGATGTGCTTGCGTAGACAATGGAGATTTATACTAATTGAGAAAGCAGTGCACTCCATATACTTTATGGGCAGAATTTGCATTGGCTTTTGTAGGCTCATTACAGACGTGTCATTGTTCTTTGCTGATGTATTTAAACGCTCAGAGTCATTTGCATAGGCAGACCGAGCATCTGGTCCGACCCAATGTGGCCTTTGTCCCGTTCCCGTGCTGACGTAAGGATGTCAATCACCCCCCCCCCAACCTTTGGTACCAGCCGGTGCTGTGCTACATCTGAATTATTTATTAAAACAATCAATGGATTAACATGCGTTAATACAACATTTATACTGTCACTCCATTGTTTTTGCTGTCACATTCATGCCTGGTGCTGAAATGAGAAACTTAGACCTGTCAAATAAAGTGTGCTGAAGTTTGGAAAACTACTTTTGTCAGGTGAATAGAGAGACTTTACAAAATTTGAATGTTTCATTTTAAGCCTGCCCTAGTAATGCATTGACATAGATTATAATGCTTAAATGGCAAAGCCAAAGTAATCCTTAATGATGCATAATTGTGCATTATGTAAAAAAAAAAAAATACATAATGCATTTACACGGACATTCATCTGAATTTTTATCTTGAAATTAACTTAGTATTATATTTGTTTAAATTTAAAGGGTTAGTTCACCCAAAAATGAAAATTCTGTCAGTAATTACTCACCCTCATGTTGTTCCAACCCCGTAAGACCTTCGTTCATCTTCGGAACACGAATTAAGATATTTTTGATGAAATCTGAGAGCTGGATCACTCCTCCATACTAGTCCATAGGCTTCTTCAGGGATTGAATTTGCCGGCCTCGAAAAGTTATTAAAGACATCGTTAAAATAGTCCAAGTGACTATAGTGGCTCAATCTTAAGTTTATCAAGTGACGAGAATACTTTTTGTGCGCAAAACCCCCCAAAATAATGACTTTATTTCAACTATTAATTTCCTTCTCTGTGGGCCTCGAGTAAATTCACTAGTGTAATAGCGTAAGCTACTGTTGTTGTACGTCACACGCATCACACACATGACCAGCGTCGGCCAATAGTGAGCCTACGTGTGACGTAGCTTTACGGAATCACACTACGTTAACTGACTAGAGGCCCAAAGAGAAGGAAATGAATAGTTGAAATAAAGTCGTTATTTTTTGTTTGTTTTTGCGCACAAAAAGTATTCTCGTCGCTTGATAAACTTAAGATTGAGCCACTAGTCACTTGGACTATTTTAACGATGTCTTTAATAACTTTTTGAGGCCGGCAAGTTCAATCCCTGAAGAAGCCTATGGACTAGTATGGAGGAGTGATCCAGCTCTCAGATTTCATCAAAAATATCTTAATTCGTCTTCCGAAGATGAACGAAGGTCTTACGGGGTTGGAACAACATGAGAGTGAGTAAATACTGACAGAATTTTCATTTTTGGGTGAACTATCCCTTTAAATTAGTTTGAAATCAAATCAAACAATAATTGTTGACAACCCCAATCTGAAGTGATCTCTTTGGATCCGTTTTTTTTTTGTGTGTGTGTGTGGTTTGAACACCTTCGGAGTGAATTCAGGTTTGTGCTTTGTTTGATAAACTTTATCTTGGGCATCTTAGTTGGAGAACTTTAATGCAGAGCATATTCTTGCAGTTGAACTTCCTCAATGATGGCAATACAGTTGTGTCGTTTTCTACCCGTCCCTATCAGATGTAAAGTTCCTTGTTTGTATGTCAAAGTTACTGGTAAGAGAGAATATTGTTCCTTCTGTGTTTGTTTTGCCTTGATAAATTACCAGGGACTAATTTCCAGCCGTTTGACTGCTTTCCTTTAAACAAGAGCAAAGGACTTACCATTCGACACTTTGGGCTTTGTATTTTTTGCTGTACTGGTGATTTGAGTATGCTGTTTGTCTTTGTGTACACATCACCTTATGTAACGTGTATTACCGGTACATGTATTCCCTCAAGCATGGTAGCCGCACTGACTCTGCTGTAGTGTAAAATGATCTCAGTCTGTATCACTTCCAGTGTCTTGTGAGACTGCTGGTCTAGGATTCATTTTTAGCTGCTTCTACTTAACCAGTGTGGCATTACTTGCGAAAAACTCTTCCTGGATCAGCAGCACTCTGTTTGCAGCAGATCAGATATCTGTGAAACTGTCTGATGTTTCTAAGCCTGAATCGATTCCTGAGCCAAGTCATCATTCTCTATTAAAGATTGCAACCTGCAGTTTAACTTTTTATTTTATTTTGCTTTGATCTTCTCTCAAATTTGACTTGCTGTCATTATGATTAATTTTCTGTTTACTAAGCCTACATGCTAGGGAATAGATCTTGCGAGACAATTTTAGGGAGGCATCAGAATGCAGCGTTGAAGTAAATTCCTCTTAAAGGGATAGTTCACCCAAATATGAAAATTCTGTCATCATTTACTCACCCTCATGTTGTTCCAAACCTGTATGAGTTTCTTTCTTCTGACACAAAATAATATATTTTAAAGAATGTTGGTAACCAGACAGTTGACGGTATAGCCATTGACTTCCATATTTTTTTCCCCCTATAGTCAGTGGCTACCGTCAACTGTCTTGATTACCAACATTCTTTAAAAATATCTTCTTTTGTGTTCAACAGAAGAAAGAAACTCATACAGGTTTGGAACAACATGAGAGAGTTGATTTTTGGGTGAACTGTCTGTCCCTTTAAAATGTCAGTAGTCAGCGAATCTGTAACTTCCACTTGCTTGTCACCGTTTTTTTCAGTAATGAGAAACTCATCCAGTGTTGTGTGGGTTTCACAAATCTTTGAAGGTGTTAAAACCCATGTGAAATTATGCGAGATGTCACCCACTTTTTGATTGATCCCTACTTTATACTTTCCAGTGATATACATTTGTTTGAAGAATGAGCTCGGTGCTTTTTTGTTAACCGTGCCAAACCTCCGCATTTAAATAGCACCCCCAGAGACCTTCAACCTGCTGATTGTCCATTTATTTCATTGGAATTGAGTTGTTGGCCCAAGTGCACAGTATAGCATCATCTGGATCTATCTACACCACTGCAATGTGTGTCATCAGATTAATTATTTCTCACAAACATGTAAAGCAGGGGTTCTCAAAGTTTTGATAGGTGAGGGCCAATTTAGGAACCCAACATTGAACTGAGGGCCGCCAAAGTGGCGGGGGAGAAAACGAAGAAAAAAAAACTGAAAAGAAAATCCCATTTGAAATTATTTTAATGACCAGGTTGCATCTCTACAGTTTACATTAGTTGCAATAAACACATTTTAATTCATAACTGAGGCTAAACCTGGCAAAACTTGTGAATTTTGGGGGGGAGAGAAAGAAACTTTTAAAATAGAAGCTTACCAAACAAGTCATCATCATCATTCATTTCTATCATTGCTTGTCAGTCGCGTTTCCATTATTGCAGATTTGCAAATTATTATCTATCTTTTTTAACCCATAACTGAAAAACGAAAAATGAACGGTTGTTGTCTTTTTAAAACGCAAAGTTGAAAAAAATTTTAATTTGAACTGGCTTCACCAACTGCTGCGCAAAAAAAGTAAATATCGACAGACTTTTTCAGATTTTTGTTTAAATGACTTTTTGCCCCTTTATTAAACATTTTAAATATTCACAAATTAATATGGAAAACATGTCGATTTTACTGGTTTTCTAAGGCCAAATTAGAACCTGGAATTTATATTTTTCCCGCAGTGATGAATGAGAAGAGCCATATAGCCTGTACGTGTCTGATCTAGCCTGATTTTGAGTTATAGGCTAATGATAATAAATGCGTCTGAAAAAACAGCGAGGCATTTTAATTGTTTATTAATAAACTATTGTTTTCTAAGTGTCGGCTAAAAACATATCTCCATCTCCGCTGTTAAGCAGATGCGCTTTTAGAGAGAAATGCACCTTTCATACGGATTACATAATCAGGTATTTGCTTTCGATTCGAGTTTGTTTGTTTAAAAGTGCACATTTTAAGCTTTAGCCTACATAGGCTATATTTTGTTTCAGTTCTCGCGCTCCAGTTCACGGAGATCATGAAAGCGCGTAGTAGCCTATAGGCTACTGATTCTTTTATTTTATTTTACAAAAGCACGTTTTCTTGTTATGAGTTTACACAAATAAAAGTAGTTGCGAATAATGCATTATTATTTTCTGTATGACCAGAAATGATAGACTAGTTTAAGTTGTTTCCACTGTTGATAGGAAAATGCAAGTGTTCGCGACTTCGCGCCCGCGAACATTTTGAAAGGTAATGGAAACGCGGCTATTAATAAGCTTGACATTGTTAAGATTATTGTTAAGTCACATTGAATATTGATTACTTGGTCAACATACCCTTTTAAATTGCAATGGGATTTGTGGTGCTGGTTTCGGTTGGCCACGATTCCTATTCCTGTGTAGACAACCACTGTTCCTGGTGGCCTTGTGAGTGCGGTCAAGTGCGATCGGTCGGTCGGACCATGTAATTACCGCTTATGCCTATGGATGCCGCTAAACACCACTAAACGGAGATATTCATTTTTTTCAAAGCAATAGTTTTAACAGTTTTACAGATGTTATCGCGGGGATTCGCGGGCCGCCAGAAATGTTTCGGCGGGCCGCCATTGGCCCGCGGGCCGCACTTTGAGAACCTATGATGTAAAGGTATACATTACTGTTCAAAAGTTTGGCTCTGTAAAAAAAAAAAAGAAAAAGATATTAAACTTTTTTTCAACAAGGATTTATTAAATGGATCAAAAGTGACAGTAAAGACACTTACAATGCAACAAAATATTTATATTTAATGAACATTTCACCCATTATATTCCTTAGTCAGGACTGTCTTTTGGCCACTTTGTTGAGTCAAAGTTTTAAGGATGACGTATATTGTGGAAACTAGGTCAGACAGTGGGCACCTCAGAGGAAAAGGAAGCAGGAAGAACTCTCTCTCTTTCTCACATGCATGGCTGTGCTGACAGGCTACTTCAACCCATTGAGTTTGTTTGTGCAGCACCTGAAAACTGAGGAAATGTATTCATTGTATTTTAAATGGCTAGGTTAGAGTTCTCTTTACATTTTTTTTCAGTAAACTAAACTCTTTCTGGTGTTATGTTTAATTCCCTTTTCTGCAAAAGTGTCAGTAAAGACTTTTCAATTGTTACTAAATCTAAATGCTGTTCTTTTGAACTGTCTATTCATGAAATAATTCTAAAAACATTTACCACGGATTCCATATGGCAGCACAACTGTTTTCAACAGATTTAAAAAAAAATGTTTCTTGAGAACGAAATAAGATATTATTAGAATGATTATTGAAGGATCATGTGACACTGTAGAGTAATTTCTGCAGAAAATTCAGCTTTGCCATCACAAAGTTATTTTAAATTGTATTTATAGGCTATGTTACAGTTTTTGCTGTATTTTTGACCAAATAAATGCAGCATTGGTGACCATAAGATACTTTTTTTTTTTTTTTTACACATTAAAAAAATCTTACCAACCTCAGCTTTTCAATAGTAGTCAAGGGGACAGAGATTCAGAGAGGTAACTTGTTTGTCTTTACACCTGTTCAGACTGTGTGTATCTTGATAGGTAGTATGATCTCTGCTCTTGTGTATCTGTTGAACACCGTTTAAATTCCGGTACCTGACGTACCAAATAAAACCTGATTCTTTCTGATAATATGTCCTGCTGACTCTTGCTTTCAGTGCGTTTTTTTTTTTTTGCTCTGAGCAGCTTAATTCTGAGTGGTGTGTGAAAGACGAGACTGGTCATGTGACCTGAAGGACACACCAACCCCCATCACAGGCCTCTGTTCCCCTCAAACTTCCTTTGGGGAGAGCCAGGGCTGATCACTGTGGGCTGTAAATGAGTTATTGTCATGGAGACTGAGAGGTCAGCCTCTGCCAGTCAAAGCTGAAACCGACAGGACGATGAGCTCTGGCATGCATCTGGTGCTTGCGTCACTGACAGGATCCTTTTGAACTGCCCTAAAGTATATCTAAAAACCAGCTGACTGGCGTTTAAATTAGTGTTGGCATATGGACTGCTCTGAAGAATGACTTGTTTCCTGTTTACACAGCCATATCTAAAGAGCATCCCCCACTTTAGTGGATCATTTGACGGTTTCTGGGAAGAGTTGATTGTGCTCTCCGTAAGTGGTTCTTTAGATGTGTCCCGTATTTGTAAGGTTAGCCTTTGCACACATCACCTCAAAAGACTCAATACCATGTGTTTCTCTGTGGTTTCATGTACATATGTGTTTGTGTCTGCATGGTTAGTTCATTGTCACAGTCCAGTCTGTTTGTTTCTCTCTGGTTTCAGTGCTCATGTCATTGAATAATTAAATAGCTCTTGAAATTGAAGCTCAGCCACTCCCATCTACCTCCATCTGTCTGTTCTGTACTCGTTTAAGAAAGCTAGCCGTTTCGCCATGTCACATTCCGCTTGAGTGTTGTTCGTAACCGTTTCTTGTTCCTACTTCCTAGATGATTATCTTTAGTTTTATATTGCTTCCTCTCCCTATCTCTTTCTCTGTGTTTTTATATTACAAGTTCAAAGTGTGCAAAGTTGCTATTCAGATTCCAGTGAAAGTTACTACTCTTATGTTATAGACTTTCTACTTTTTAGACGGGTAGATTGCATGCCGTAGAAAAAAAAAATTATATTCACTTTAAAACGAACAATTTCATTGTTAATGTTTCATTGAAATCTGATTTTGCGCAGTTAAACATACTCAGTTAAATGACAATGCATTAACATTGTCAACTAACTAGAAAACTTTAGTGAGTGAAATGAGCACCTGCTTATTAACTAGGCCTATATGCATTCATTAATAAGGATGTGCAAAACTGCATATTTGGTAGTTGTTCACACAGTGTTTTTGCTTTCCATTGTGCTGCTTTTCCTTTGTTTTTCTATGTCAACATGTGGACATGTTTGGCCGTTGCACTCTGGTCTTGCGTTCTGCACGTGACACGTCGTTCTAAAAACCTAAAAATGACTTTGCTATTTTTCATTCCACTACTCTGTGTCTTGTGTTTTTAAATGCAAAAACACGTTCTGTGTGAACGGCCCTTTTGTGTTGAAAAAATGCAAGACGTGAGCAGTAGAATGGGGAAAAACATATCATCAATTTTTTAAAAATGTAAACGTATTACTTTAAGTAACCACGTTTTTAGAAAGCCATGTTGTGTGAGACAATACAAAAGAGATACAAGTGCAGTGGTCAAAGACATCCATCTAGTCTAGTGCATATCTACAAAGGAAAAACAATGGATAAGTGCAATCATAAAAGTGAAAGTCACACAGGTTTGGAGCCACATAAGTGTGAGAAAATTAGTTTTTTTTGTTTTGTTTTTTTGAGTGAACTATCCCTTTAAAGAAACAATTAGGCTGGTTTTGAGTCCAACTGACCCAAATTTGATGTCTTTGAGGCATTTACATGATAAGATATGTTCTTGTTTTCAAAAGCTAGATCACTAGATTTTTTCTCTGAAACTGAAGGTCAGAAGGGAGTCATCAGAGTCAGAGAGTCATTATGTTGCATCTTTTAATAATAATTTGTTTGTATTGTTTGTTTCTCAATTGCCTCGATTGTTTCTCAATTTCACTTTTTGGAGTAACGGTCACTCTCCATATGAATTTGTCACACGTTTCAGATGTTAAATATATAAATGATGTCTGTTGATAAGTTACCTTTGGTCAGCACATGAGATGCCTGATAGCCATCTTTTGGAACAATTTAGTACCAAAGGACACTCGGTTTTGCCTCACTTCCAAAGCCTGCATAGTATGTCCACATGTTCCTGTGTGGGCACGGGAGGGTGGGGCAATGCAGAGGCCTCTTCCTTTGTGGTGTAATCGGTACCAGATGGAGAGGTGTGTGTGTGCGTGTGTTAATGCACGCCCCTCCTTTTCCTCACCCCACATATTAAATCGAAATGCACATTCAAAGAAATCTTCAAGATCTGGCTGGTGAATCTGTGGTCGTATTCTCAGTGACAGACCTAATTGGGTCACCTGACCCACTCTCAATCTTATACTCTCAATTTGTTTGTTGGTAAGCTTGAAGCTGAGTGCGTGTTTTCTTCTGATGCTCTATTAAGCAAACACAGACTGAGCTGAGACTTTATAAACTGGGTTTAAGACAGCTTCCATGCACTCTTTGTTCCTTAAAGAAAGCTTTAAGCCAATTAGACTGCTAGCTCTGTGCTGGGTGAATGGCCGTGGTGAGGTAGTGTGTGTGTGTGAGATCCAAACGGTACTCTGGAGATTAACCAGCCTTGTGGAGCGTGTGTTAGAATATGGTTAGGTAATTCACCTATTAAGAAACACTTGATTGTTGATTGGCTATTTCACTACTTGATCACCACTTTCTCAGACATCAGGGTTTGATTGTTTAGAATAGCCATAGACAATCTTTCCCATGAAGATAATAAAGTTTAGTCTGCTGTTTTCATCTTTCATTTCTCTCTCTTTCTCAACATCCTCTTCATCGTGCCAAAACAACACTTGTTCAGAAGTAGCATAATGGTTTGATATTTTGTTTTCACTTTTCAGTCACAATTCTTTAATTTGCAGAAAACCCAACATGATTCGTTGTTCAGCGGTGCATAACCTACAAAAGGAGCACATAAAAAAAGTCGCCCACTTGCATTTCCAAAGTGTGTATAGGGTCAGCAGTCCCTTGCCCTAGAAAAAGCTCTGTTTTAGATGTTTTACATCAGCATGTAGGAAACGTTTGATGTTTCTCTTGCTGCTTCAAAGGCCTGTTGTTCCTAGCTGAAGTTTTTCTCAAGCTTTGATTTTTGTTTTTCACCAAGTCTCAGGTGACTTAAGGCCACTCTTTGCCGATGCATACATCTCTGTCTGGTATTTAAAGGGACAGTTTCAAGTTCAACCTAAAACTAAAACTCTGTCATTTACTCATCCTCACTTCCCCTCGTTCCAAAACTTTATGACTTTTCATCTGTGGAACTTTTAAAAAATATATATTTTGACAAATGTCTCACTGTTATTTTGTCAATGATAACCAAAACTGTTTGGTTACCAACAGTTTTCAAAATGTTGTTTTTTGTCTTTTGCAGAAGAAAGAAAGCCATACAGGATTGGAATGACATGAGGGTGAGTAAATTATGACAGAAATTAATTTTGTGGGTTATGGTGTTTCTTGTGCATGCATGCAGGCTCCTGGATATCTGATTCGTCTCACTATATCTCTTTTTCATCATCTGCTCTTTCATCTTTAGCTCAAATTCATCATTGTGTTGATGCTGTGCATCTGTCTTGGTCAACAGTGTTGTATTGATTCAAATAGTGGTCAGTGTAGAGTGGTGGAAAGGTGTAAGTTCTGGTGTTCCTGCCCAGGTGGAGGTCACCTGCTTCCTTTCTGCAGTTTTACTGTGATCAAATGTGCATCCAGTTTCTCATTAATGGTGGAATATTTTTGTAATGTGTTCATAAGGATCCTTTAGTCAGTCTGTTGTTACTTGTAAAGTGATTAATGGATTTTGTGACTTGTTCAGTGTGTTGGTGTGTTTTACAGAGACATTTGCACTCTTCTGAAGCCTACATACCTGCTGTTCCAGAAGTTATGTTGCCTCCTTAGCAACCTTTTTTTTAGCCAAAATTGTAAGGCATCATAACATCTATTGCAGAAAAGAGAATCCCAGAATGCACTGCAACAAGCTCAGTGAAAACATTAGTATGTGTCTTCTTTCAGATGCATCCTCCTCCATTTTTACATACTGTACATTATAATTTTGTGATGCCTAAATTCTCTTGTAGCATTTAAAAAATGATTTGAGTTTATTTATTTGTATTTACTCAAAACAATAGTTTCATTTTATTTATAATTTTATTTTTCAGAGCAGTTTGAGAGATTTGTTAAATATTGAGGCCAAACACTTTCCTGAGCTTTAAAAAAAAGCTTGTAATGTCACACAGACTGGAAGTTTCCTTTGACACGGTTGTGTGCAAATTCAGACAGCTTTAATTCGTCTGTGGTCGGCCATGCGTATGGGTGTTCAGCGGGTGTGTATCACTCGTCTGCTCTCTCTGCTGTGAAGCAGCTGCACACCCAACATGCTCCACTTCAAACTCCCATCACCACATGTGGCCCTTGTGTATCCCACAGACCAGATGCCCATGCTGGATGCAGATGTGTACCTCCCCTCAAGTTCCTAACTTCTCATTTCAACTTCCTTCTCTACTCTTGGATCTATTTTAGACCACAGATGCAACTGATACTTCTCCCTAATTTCTCGGTGGGAACGGTTTAAGCTTCCACATCCTACCCACTCATGAAAGGAGTTTTCCTCGCCATTAGGCTATAATTCATACCACCCCTGACAGCAAAGTGACTCTAGATTAGAACCTAAGATCGTGATTCAGTCTTAAAATTCTCATTTTCTCATTCTCATTCACCCCCCAAGAGCTCTCAAAAGGGAGACTCCAACAGAAAGGTGGTTTCTTTCCTTTGAATCTGAGTTTTTGGTGTTTTTTTTGCACGTGGGAAATTCCATTTCTCTCTCTTTTGAATGTTTATAAGTGACTTATTGATTTCTAAGCTTTTGATACAGACTGAGTCTGGTTTTATTTGCTCTTTTTAATGCAGTAAAATCAGCTGTGGACTCTAATGAGCTTTTTCAATTTTGTGTATTGTGTGTGTTTGTATGTGTCTGAATGCATGCAGGTTGTTTCTTAAGGTATTGTCATAAGTTGTATGGGAGTTGTCTGAGCACATAAGTGGATTCAGGCTGTGTACCTGAACCCACACACACACACACACACAGATCTCTAAAGTCTGACAAGTTTTGCAGACAATAGCATATCACTGTTCCAAAATGCATGTAAAATTTGTAGAGGAATGGACACAGCTCATAATGTGTGTACAGTTCAAACTATTTGGTATTATGTTCTGGGATCAGGGGGTCATATCATATTCCGCAAGGTCTGAAGCCATGTTCTGTGTAAAAGATAAAGGAAGGGTTATGTTCACAGATGTACCCTGGGTTTTATATTCAGACAGTCACCATGAAGTCAAAATCGTTAATTCTTATTTTTAATGGAATATTATTTTTTATCCTCCAGCAACCTGTCACTTACGTGAGATCGCAGCAGTTAGCAAACGACAATGATCCAATCAATACCTGATGGAAAGTTCAATCCCACCCTACATTTTTTTCTCATTCGAGAAGCTTTGATGTGTCACAATAGGGAGGAAAAGACAGTTGCAATTTCCAGTTCATGCTGTCTTTAAACGGCATGGCTAGCGTACATGCTGTAGGACAATTTGAGTCATAGGCCCTGTCCCAAATGGCACCCTAAACATTTGCGGTCTTCCGCTTTGACTGTCGGGAAGAAGTCTGCTGCGGACATCCCTTCAGTGCGGGCTCGGGAAAAGTGTGCATCGAGCCTGTTTACAATGTCTACCATTGTAACAGATGTTTGTATCTACCAATGTCTTTATACAGTGTGTGAATATATACATACATATGTATGTATATGTTTGTGTATATATGGGCCTATAAATTAGGGCTGCACGAAATATAATTTTAGCATCGATATCGCGATAGTCACATCGCAGGATGTGCGATGTCAAGTAATGCTCTTGATTCACCGATTAATAACAAAGTTTAACCATCGTAGAGTGAAAGTTTATTATTTAAAAGTGTTTTAGGTCTTGTCAGTTTAAACATTCAAGCAATTTTAAGCTGTTTGAGCTCAAGAAGATGCGAAAGAACTCCATTCAAACTCGCTCGTAAAGTTGTGGAAATGAAGCCAAGCTGCCGTGGTTACTGGGGCTTAAGCCCAACCTGAGCTGTAGTAATGAATCTCTGTGCATACTGAAGATTTGTTATGAACTGGCTACTCTCTCTTCTCACCAGCACCGAAACAAAGGATGAACTATATTCAGTATTTTTTTTATTTTTGAAAGCTGTGGGCGGAGAGCTGTTGACATATCAGCTCTGAAACAGTCCTAGTTCTAAGGGTGATTTCGTTTTTTGATCAGGAGTTTGCGCGTCTCATTCCCAGTCGCAGTTCTGTTCAGGCTTAACGCTAACCCGGTCTGTCTCACTCCTCATGGAGTCGGGTTATTTTTCAGGTCATTATACAGAGAGGCCGTGCGAGACAAATCTGGACAAAAACAGCAGGGGTGTGTGTGAAACAGGGTGTGCATCTGTCCTGTACTGTATTTTGGGACAGATGCTGACTGTATAATAGCTCTCTGAACTAATAACTAGTGTGTGTGTGTCTGTCTGTCTGTCTCTCTATTGTTATTTAGTGTGTAAGGTAAAACTGTAACCATGTGACCCTTTATGTAACCGTTTCACTTGGGTTTCATGAAATAGAAACCCTTTTGCGCAGTGAGATGAGGAGATGTGCAGATATCGAAACTGTTTTTATTTGACTGATTTTGTGAGGTGGTTTTGTGTGTGAAACCAAAAGAGATGGAGGAAAGAAATATCTGAAAAATCTGCATGCATGAGTGAAACATAAATCTGATGACCTTATAAAAGAACATATTTTTTCTCTTATTGTCCCTTCTTGTTTCCTTTCGTTTTCTCTCTCCCACTTTGCATTACTACAAATTACTTCAGTGGTTTTAGAATGATCTGTTGTGTAAAATTGCAACAAAGAGATCATCAAGTGTGTTTTGCTGTGTAAATATAGTTAGCTGGTTTGTCCTCTTAATTTTTCTGGATTTTCAGGCGTAAGACTAACTGACATACAAATGAACAGTTAATACAGGTTCATACTCTCTTTAGGATGGTTGGCTTGCGGTTAATGTTGTGTAATGCTCTTGTCTGATGTGTAATTTGGGAAGTCTTTACCTTTCTTTTCCTTTGCACTCTCTTGCTTTCTCACTTTCAAATCTCTCTCACTGTCTCTCTGTTTTAGACTATAAGGGTTGTGCGTAAACGGTGTGATTTCTAAGAACAGGAAGAACTGCTGTTGTTATACTTCATGGTACAATAGTGTGACAAATGGTCTCTGCCTTTGGTGTAAGGGATGTGAGTAGTGTTGCCACAACACCTCTTTCTTTTCCTCTGTAAGCAGCATTGACTTCCTGTTCTGTGGAACTTGTAAGAGTTACAGTACTTTAGATTATTAGTCAACCTTCTTTTCTCACTCCATCCATTCTGGTTTTTCTAAATACTTTTCTTAGATGATATGCATACTCCGAATAAAGTTATTCATTGTGCACATTAAAGCACTTTTACTCAAGTGATAGCTATAGGGCTAATCAAACCCTGTCATGCTAGCATGTTCCAAATTTCCTTGATGACCTCACTTCCGTTGTGTTAAACGGTTCAGGAATGATATGCCATGTGGCCCGCTCCAGTGGTAAGTCACTTTGTACTGCTTTTGTGTAGTGGACGCAAGGTCTAGAGACAAACTACTTTTAACTTGAGCGCCATATTTTAAGAAAACTCTTCCTAAAAATGATGCTAGATGCGAGCATAAGAACAACAATGGAAAAGCAACACACTGAAATTTTGTCACTGCTTAATTGTTCTAAAGGTCATTTTTCCCTGTTAAAAGATAAGTTAACAGCTCGGGCTAACACTTGTTAGCTATTCATGTGCTCTGTATGTCATTTAGACCACATGCTTTGATGGTGTTATCAGGATTGTGTATACAGGGCAGGTGTTGATTTTGTATCAGTGTGAGGAATTTATTAGTGCAGTGGCCCATTAACGCTCATAGTCCTTGTTAAAGTATTATACAGGGACTGTATGACCACATTCTCCACTACACCCTTAAAGCAAGAGGTCCAGCAGTAACACACACAGTTTAAGCCCATAGCAACAGTCTGGTATGTGGGACAGGGATTGCTGTGCGAGGAAGGAGGGAGGTGTGAAAAAGAAGACTCTCTGGATGGAGGGACTGAAGAGGGTGAGAATCCCCAGAGTTGCTGGCGTTGCTGTTTAGGGACAAAGAATGATATATGGATATATAGAGACACAGCTCCCATATATACAAATGGACATGGAAAAACATCAAAATCGAAGTCTTGTAATTAATTTCACGTTCCTGGTTATATTTAGAATTTTTCTTTAATGCATGTTATAAAAAAACATCGACATTGAACCTTTGTATACACGGCCCTGGTCCCATTGCTTCATGTTTTTCCAAAGAAAATATTGTTTGTTTTGTAATCTTTAATTAAAATGTAATAACTTTTTCTTTCTCTGAGATAGCTTTCAGTTTCTTCTGACTTCACTTAAGGCCCATTCACACCAAGAACGATAACTATAAAGATAATTGTATTACCATCCACACCAACGGACGATATCGTTGTTTATTATAAGTGTGCGCAGCAGTTTTGTCGCTGCTTTATATGCTCGAGCTCTTTATTAAAGGAGGATGGATTCTGATTGGCTATCAATGTTTTTATCTATCAGCTGAAAAAAAAAAAAAAAAAAAAACGTTCCGAAAGTGATTCCAATGAAATAATTTCTGTATGCTGTTATCGTTTTAGTTGTGGTGTGGATTCTTTTATATTTAGATTGATTTTTAGAACTATATTTGTATCGTCCTTTGTGTGAACAGCCATTTAGGCTGTGCAGGCTAATAGATAATGTTAATCCATAGCCAAATAGCTATTTAGGTATTATTTTAACAAACCTGCGTTTATTCTGTCTCCATTGTAGTATAATACTGATCAGATAGGACCTCCTTCAGGAACAAAGGCATAGGCTGTAAGAATTTTCAGGGACAATGCTCTCAAATCACGGTTTAGTGTGAGGGTCAATTTGGCCAGGTTTCCTACATGAATTACAGACTGAGGTGAACTTTGGAAAAACTGAGGAAAAAATTTGCTAGGCGTTAAGCTCCATTGGATTGTGTCTGAGAGTTTGTCTGCATTTAGCTGATCACCATCTTTTCTGTTTGTCCTTTAGATCTTGTTAGCAAATCTCATGTCTAAGAGTACATACCATACTGTAAGTCAGCTTACAATGAGCAAGAGTGAGGTTAAGACTGCAGAATATGGGCCACCAAACATCACTTAAGTGGTGCCTGGTGCAATTTTACAATTCCTTCCTGTGGTTTACTAACCTAAATATGCCAGCTAAAGGCACTCACCAAAAATAGCCACTTAACTGTTTTCTTACTGGTTTCTTTCTCTGTTTTGTACAGTTGTAGTGATGAGGATGATGATGGTGATGAAGAGGAGACAGAGCTGAGAGCTGAGTGTGTGTGGTGGTGTTGCGTTCACATTGGGAGCGGAAAGAACCCCCTCCCCCACACACACTGCATCCATGTTCTCCCCTGACCAGGAAAACATCTCCACGTCGTCAACCAAAGTGCCAGTCAAATACGGAGAACTCATTGTGCTCGGGTAAGGCCTTCTGACCTTTGACTCTGGATCAGGAGGCATCTGTCATGCCAGAGTTAATAGTTTGTAATGTTTCTAATGCTCAGTGACAACTATGCATGTGCATGCTTGTTTTTCTTGTGTTTCTGAAAAAAGTCAGCTGCCATGAGGTTTTTGGTGGTTGGTGTTGTTGTTAGTAACGTCATTGTGGGCAAAATGTGAGGGTGATGCATGTTTAAGGGAACAATGGAGCCCTCAGTTTGAAAACAATGTGGTTTTCAATGTGGTGTTGGGGTGTCATAATGCACTTCATTGACTTTCATTTGCAGAACAGCATGCGATACACTGCGCTATACCATCACATGACTGACTGGTGTCTAAAAGAGCATTTGTGTATTAACTTCTTTAATTAGATGTTTTCAGAGGTCATGGGTTGGATTAGATTCTCATCCTGAAGCGCATGGAGGACTCAACTCCATTATTGTGTTGAGTTATGGCTGATCTAAGTGTTGTGTTACTGCTAAACTATGGTTTTAGCTACCTTGTTTGTAGGTCTGGACGACTAATCGGAATAAAAAAAGAAATCATGAAATGGCTTAGTGTGATTTAATTAAATAAATATATGCGCTGCTTGTTTCATAGTGAAGCACGACTCTGTTCTTACACAGAAGCTTATTATCAGCAGTAATGCTGCTCCACACAAAGTCCATCTCTGCATCTGCTCTGAGTTTGGGTCACTTTAGCCGCGTTTCCACCGCAGGAACTTTACCCAGGAACTAGGAACTTTGGCCTGGTACTCGGTGTGTTTACACCGCAGGAACCAGGGTCTAAATGAAGTTCCGGGTAGATATTTCCCCCTCCGAAAGTCCCTGCTCGCGAGGTAGTACTTTTTCAAAGTTCAGGAACTTTCGCGGGTGGGGCTTGTGCGCTGAACATGCTGATTGGTTGTGTTCACGCCGCATTATGATTGGATAACTCCGCGCAGCATTTTATTTTAACCGGAATTTTTAGAATCTATTGCAGTTCGTGGCTTCATGCAGTAATGAAGTTCCATGCAGTAAGAGTTGTCTGTCTGCAAATATGGAATTTAATAAAAATAAAAAAGGCAGCTGGACCGACGACGAGATTCAGGCTTTATTAAGCGTATTTGCGGAAGAGAAATTTTCTGCGCGTTCGTCCCAGCCTTCTCACGGTCAATGTCCGCAATAGCTGATAACATACGCTGTCTAATTTTAGATCTAACGTTAGCATTACGAGCTTTCTGAACACGCTTTAGTATCAGTGCTCGTCTCTTTTCTGCCGTTTTGTTAATTACCTGGTTAGTAAACCAATACATCTCAAACAACTGCAGCACAGTGTGAATCTCTTCCATATTTATTATAAATGTGGCGCTCAAAACTGATTACTGTCCTTTACAGTCTACTGTCCGTCACAAGCAAGCAATGAGCAGTCGCGCGCAGTTTACCCGGTACTTTAGACCGCGATGTAAACGCAGAAAGCTACCGGTCTGGGGCAAAAAAAGTTCCTGGGAAAAAAGTTCCTGGGACAAATTGTTCCGGGCAATTGCGGTGGAAACGCGGCTAATAATGTGCATTTGGGAACGCAACGTGCGGCAAACATCTTGTTTAACCCTACTTCTGTGGATGTTTTGTTCGGTTTTTCATCTTGGTAGAGACAGCTATGAATTCTGTTGAATGTTTTGGGAATGATATTTGTGATATGTAAGTTTGGTTACTGAGCTTCTAGCTCTGACAAAGCTCTCTTGAGCTTACAACCTGCATCTGACCACACACTGTTCCATGAGTCAGTGTCCTGATGAGGCGGCTCATTTCCTCCACCACCTTGTTTTCCCATGGCTTTTTACTCTCTCCTCCCAGCAACAGCTGACACTGAAAGACTTCCTTCATCTTCACCACTCCGGGGGGGTTTCCCTCCCTCTATCTGTCTTTCCCGGAGTGTTTTCTGAAGGAATGCGGTATAAGTCACAGCTGTGGAAATACCCAGCCCGGTTCTTGTGTGTGTACATGCATCATGTTTTCAATCCATGAAATTCCTGGTTCTTGCTGACTCACTGTTCTTCAACTTTGTTTCTTTCCCCATGCATCAGTTCTTTAGATCATCACAGAAAAAGTCTCTGTCGGAAGGGTGTGTTTTTTTTAGACTTACTCAAGTTGAAGATGTCACCTGGTGGATGTCTTCACTTTTCTGATCTCCATATAAGAAAGAATGTAGTTTTATGAGGGAAGGCTCGGGAGAAATGAGCACAATCGGTCATAAATTGTCATAAAAAAACAAGCTTGTTTATAGAGTACATTGGGATAATGTGGGCTTTGCCAAAATATCTTGAGAATGCACTCAACAACGTCAGTGCATGCTTTCAAGGAGTTCATGTTAAAACAATCAAAGACTTAATGAAGTCCTTAAGACTTAATCATCACATTGCAAACATTGTGTGTCTGTGTGCTGTTTCTGGAGCACACTTGGGCAGTGAGTAAGTGGGTGGTGGAGGTCTGAGAGGAAACCTCCACAGAGGAAATCACAATGCACAGCAAGTGCAGTGTTCATAATACTTTATATACATGGGCTTCACACTTTAGTACTGAATCTTGATAATATCAGATCCATTTGCTACATCCATTGGTTCCTTTAGTAATGGCAACAGAAGTGTCAGCATTACACCATAAGATAGTAAATGATAATGTGGAAATGTCTCTGAAGGATCATGTGACACTGAAGACTGGAGTAATGATGCTGAAAATTCAGCTTTGCCATCACAGGAATAAAATACATTTGAAAATATATTAAAATAATGTCATTTACATAGTAAAAACATTAATATTGTTAAATATTAACATAACTTTTATCAGCCTTGTAACCTAGAAACTGTTGCCATGGGGGTTGGTAAGTTCAGTATGTCACCACAGCTAAATATATAATTTAATGAAGAGTGGATCTTGAACTTTGTGACTCTGGAATGGTTTTTGTTAGGAATTTCTGGGATTAGCTTTTAGTTCCAGATAACAACCTAAATGGTTGTTTGCTTTTCCGTAGAAAAGCATTAGATTGAATATCTACCGTAGAGCTTTTGTTTGTTTCTGCTTTTGTGAGTGCTTGTCTCTGTTTTGTTCACCACCTGTTGCCTGTGGCTGAATTGATGGTGGAGTAAATATTGTGTGCAGGTTTTTTCAGTTGAATTTCTCACTCCCTCTCTTTCTGCAGGTATAATGGCTCTCTACCCAACGGGGACCGCGGCAGAAGGAAGAGCAGATTTGCTCTTTTCAAAAGACCCAAATCCAACGGCGTCAAACCCAGCACTGTACACGTAGCCTGCACCCCACAGGCGGCCAAGGTACACACAAACACACACAAACACCCAAACACACACACACACACACCCCCCCTACAAGAGAATCAGCAGTTACAGTGTCATTTTGGTTCTGGTTAAGTTTGGAATTAAAACACTAGGTGGGTTTGAGCTGTAATGGAACAGGGTGTGTCCACTTACACATCTGGATACTGTTGAGCTCATGAATGACCCCTCTGTGGCTCCCTCACAAACACACACATTTACACATACTCACAAACAGCTCTCAGCCTGTTTCCACAGTCTGCTAGACTCTATCAGGCTTGCCCAATGAACTTTTGCTGGCTGAATAAATTTTTTTTCCCAGATCTGCAAACCGTGTTTTGTTTGTGTGTATAAACATATATATATATATATAATATATATATATATATATATATATATATATATATATATATATATATATATATATATATATACACATTGATAAATGATTATTTATATATAATATAATTATATTAAAAATAAAAATATATTTTTAATAATACAATATTGTAATATCTATATCATATCTCTCTCTCTCTCTCTCTCTCTCTCTCTCTCTCTCTCTCTCTCTCTCTCTCTCTCTCTCTCTCTCTCTCTCTCTCTCTCTCTCTATCTCTCTCTATCTCTCTCTATCTCTCTCTATCTCTCTCTATCTCTCTCTATCTCTCTCTATCTCTCTCTATCTCTCTATCTCTCTATCTCTCTATCTCTCTATCTAATATTAGTATTTTTTAAAAATGTATAAATTGTTATAAATAATGTATTTTTATGGCCTAAAGCATTTTCTTTATTATTTATTTGTTTATGGCAGTGGGTTTATTTAGTTAATTTTTTTTGTGTCATTTTTTAGTGGTTAAGTGCTGATTTTTTTGGGCACTTATCTCTTCCTGTTTCCATTAGGCCATAAGTAACAAGGATCAGCACAGTATTTCCTACACGTTGTCCCGAGTACAGACGGTGGTGGTGGAGTACACTCAAGACAGCAATACAGACATGTTTCAGGTACAGACTCACTGTTGACTGATCTCCGCTGTCCTTTTGGACTTCGTCTTGGACTGTGTACAAAAATGTCAATTAATCTCACTGCTCAAAATGTCAACCTGATTTAATGCTGTTACTATCATCTGCTTTGATTGTGTATCTCCTACAGTGTTTCTGTAATTGTGTACAGTAATGCAAGCTTACAAATTTGTCTGCAGTGTCTGATGTTTAATCTCTCTCTGCATCTCAGATTGGCCGCTCTACTGAGAGTCCAATTGATTTTGTGGTGACCGACACAGTTCCCGGAAGTCAGAGTAACTCTGACACTCAGTCAGTTCAGAGCACCATATCTCGCTTCGCATGCCGGATCATGTGTCAGCGAACGCCTCCTTATACCGCCCGCATCTATGCCGCCGGATTCGACTCCTCCAAGAACATCTTCCTTGGGGTGAGAGAGCGAGAAAATGTGACTTGAGCTTATATAAAGAGGACAGGGCATGAGAAACTGGCACTACTTTTGAGCAGCGTTAACATCTGAAGACCCAATATATCTAAATCTCTAATGAAAACAGATTTGGAATCAGAATAGATTTAAATGGACTGGTAGCCTCTTTCTGAAATCAGTTATCAACCTCATGAATGGATTTGAATATTGTATTATCTACCTAACATAGAACTTTTAAATCACAGAAATGTTAAAATCACTGAGGTGTTCATTGAATCAAAAATTTGTATCATAATGTTTTTTAAGTGCTTGTTAACACAAGACTAAAAATTCTGTCATCTACTCATGTCGTTCCAAACTTTTTTTCTTCTGTGGAACATAGAAGATATTTTGAGGAATATCTCAGTAGTTCTTTTCTTTGTGTCCATACAATGAAAGTCAATGGTCTCCAGTGTTTGGTCCAATGGTTCCCAATGTTGGAATGGAACGTCGTGTAAAAAATGACAGAAATTTCCGTTTCAGGTGAACTCCTTTTAATAATTTAAATAAAATTCAAAAAAAAAAAATCCTACAGGAGAAAGCAGCAAAGTGGAAGACATCGGAAGGACAGATGGATGGTCTGACTACTAACGGTGTGTTAGTAATGCATCCTCGTCACGGTTTCACAGAGGACTCCAAACCAGGCGTGTGGAGAGAAATTTCGGTGTGCGGAAACGTGTTCACACTGAGAGAGACTCGTTCGGCTCAGCAGCGAGGGAAAATGGTCAGTGCTCCTATTTTTCCAGTAAATTAGTGTGTTTTAAAAAAAAGTCTCACCACAAGTTACCGTAGGTTAAATGGTTTAGCATAATTCCTACCAGCTGACACATTTCTACCGCCACAAGGTATACAGTACCATCATGCTCCCCAGCCCTATTGGAGACATACTCTGTTTCAAATCATAAGACCATAAATATCAGCCTGTGTTTATGAAGCAGCATTTGTGGAAGCTGTAATGCGATGTCATATGGGATTCGGAAATTTAAGCTTTGTTAAACAATCATATGGTTCCTTGCTAGACGGGACGTTGGAGCGCTCTGGTGCCATTGACCGGTTGCTCTGGGACGCTGTTGCCACAGTAATGGCCCAGGCGAGACGGTTTTGCCCTGTTCGGTGTAACACAAAGCTGTAAGATGATCTGAAGTTGATTTGTTAAGTGCGTCAAACCGGAGGCCCAATGAGAACTACCGCTTTCAACACTTTCCTCCCATGCTCATGACAAGTTATTATCTTTAGTTGTTATCTGGACAAATATAGGCCTGTAAAGACTCCTAGATATGCATGGGGCCCATGATGTGTTTGGCCACATTGAGGATCGCAAATCAAACTGCTTATGTATTCTTGGTGCACAACTCAAACACTCTCTCTGATTCGCTTGCACTCACAGTCGAGAGTCTCAGAGGCGCCCCATTAATCTGGGTTGTCATGGGCAGAACAAACACGCTCCTGATTGCTGTTCATGTCCTGCTCTTGAGGAGTCCTGCTGATGGCTCAATGCTGGCTAAACATGGATCTAATGCTCTCTCAGTGCTGGGCAAACACTGCTCAACTGTGCTGCTGTGGAGAGACGTTCGGCTTTACTGGCTCAGAACAGATCAGGTTCAAGCCCAACTGCTCAGACTCTGGCCTGATGCTGGTGAAAACAGTCAAGTAGTTCAGAAGTTAGGACATTTATCACTTTTAGTGCTGAGCACATGCAGGATTTGATATTTTTTGTGTGCCTCCAGTGTGCACCACTAGTTATAATTTGACCATTAAATACATACAATTCTCAAGCAGATTCTAGTGGTGTTTTTTTTTTTTTTTGCTAAGCCGTGAAGGTCAAGTATGGTAACACCCATACTCAGAATTGGTCCTCTGCATTTAACCCATCCAAGTTATGCCGAGTTCACACTGCACGATTTTCAAAGTAGTCGTGTCACTGTTCTTTTCACACTGCGTGACTATCTGGGGTAGCATTCAGTTGCTGCTGTGTTAACACAGTTTCGCACTGCATGATTTTACAAAAGAAAGAATCGCCAACAACTTCTGTCTGGTCCGCAAACTACGTTTCACAACCAAACAAACGCGAGAAGTAATTAGGAAATAACGCAAGATCACGCTAAAAAAAATTGTTAGTAAAAATTATAGCCTGAAAGAAGATTGCGATCCAATTTGTCTGCGTTGATTTGCAGCGAAAAGGAGAAAAAGAAAAACAGCTTATGCAGGAGGAAATTGTTGGAGACGAGAGCAAGGATTGTGTGTTCTGCAAAGAGAGTTGGGGGTAAATAATTTTGCAATGTGCTGCTGTTGGTCAAGCAAATGTTTGTGCTTTGTTTCTGTTTGATATAATTGTAAATATACTGATATTCTGGTCTATAACTCCTCCCCGAACATCCCGCTGCTCTGTACCTTGGTCTCTCATTGGCTGTAGGTCATCGCCGATGTAGTTTTCAGTCAGAACACTTTTCACATAGTAGGATTTTAAATCGCCCATAGGTCCAGATATTTAGCATGCCAAATATCTCACTGGCGTCTTTGAGAATTCACACTCTGTGATTGTCTCTCACGTGAACGAGCACCGATTTGCCTATGATTTCAGGCATTTGTCGGCGATCTCCCAAAAAATTGTTCAGTAAACTCTGCATTAGTGCACAAAAATTGTATTACATTTATTTTAGTAAATTTGAGTTGTAGATTGACTTTCTGTACTAAGCAATAATAATGTACACTACTGTGCAAAAGTTACATTACCATTAAGATGTTTTTAAAGAAATTAATAGTTTTATTGAGCAAGGGTGGGTTAAATTTATATATATATATATATATATATATATATATATATATATATATATATATATATATATATATATATATATATAACGCAACTAACTCAAATCAATGCAGCCTTGGTGAAAGACAAAAGACATAAGACTTAAAAACATAAAACAACCTACCCCAAGCTTTTTAAACATTTAATTAATTATTATTAAAAATGTATAAAATAATATATATATATATATATATATTTAAATGTTTAAAAATATATATTTTATTTTGTATCAATTATTACAATTATAATTAATGTATTATTGTTTCATGTTTTTTTATTCCTCTATACCTATCATTTCTAGTATTTCCTCATTTATATACATTAGTATTAGGAAAAATAATACTGTATGCAGAACATGTGAAATGTGACTTTAATTGTTGAGAGCAACATATTATATACACACACACACATACATGCGCACTTGCTCGAATACAAAACTGTCGTATTTGCACTTGCACTCTGTGTCCTTCACACAACACAGCTCAGACATAGACACTGCACAGTTCACACACATGGTGTCCATACAGCTGTGCAAGTGTGTGTGTGTGAGGTGTGGCTAATGCAGTATAGCGAAGGACAAACTAAAGGCTGATCAAGGATGGCTCTGAAATATGTCGCAACCATGAATTGTGACTCCAGGATGAATGTGTGGATCATAGGGTGTGTATTTTGCACATTTATGTCTGTGACATCACACTGACAGACGTCTTAATCAGTAAATGGTTAGATTTTTTTTTTTTTTTGCTGCTTATCAAGAACAAATCATTACTGTATGGATAGTGGTGGGGCTTTACTGCCCCCTGCAGGCAAACTTTGCACCACTGCATCTGCTGATAAGATCTGCCTTTGATTTGTTTTGTTAAAGGCAGAAATATGGGCTCTATTTATAACTCAATCTTCTTTTCTTTTGGTATCTTTTTTTTCTGTAGGTGGACAATGAGACTCAAGAGTTGGTGGATGGCTCTTTGATCGATCTCTGTGGAGCGACTCTCTTGTGGCGTACTGCTGAAGGGCTTTCCCGCACCCCCACCGTCAAACACCTGGAGGCGCTCCGGCAAGAGCTGAATGCTGCTCGTCCCCAGTGTCCCGTGGGTTTCAACACTCTCGCCTTCCCTAGCATGCGGAGGAAGGACATCGTGGACGAGAAGCAGCCCTGGGTCTACCTAAACTGCGGCCACGTTCACGGCTACCACAACTGGGGCAACCGAGATGCAGAGCGTGAAGGAAGGGAGGGCCGGGAGCGGGAATGTCCCATGTGTCGCGCTCGCGGGCCATACGTGCCGCTGTGGCTGGGCTGCGAGGCGGGGTTTTATCTAGATGCAGCCCCTCCCACTCATGGATTCAGCCCGTGCGGCCACGTGTGCTCAGAAAAAACAGCTGCATTTTGGAGTCAAATCCCTCTTCCTCACGGAACGCACACCTTCCATGCCGCATGTCCTTTCTGCGCCCAGCAGCTCAACGGTGAGCAGGGATACATCAGACTGATCTTCCAGGGGCCCGTGGACTAAACACACCTGCCTATGACCTTTTGCCCCAGTAACCCCATTTGACAAACATTAGTCAGGCGTTTCTTTCTGTTGTTTCTATAATTTGATTTTATAAAGATGACATTTTCTGCGCTCTCAGACTGTTTTCTTCCCTCCCTTTCTGGTTTGTAAGTGACCTTTATAATGCTTTTTTTGAATACAGAGAAAAACAAATATATATTTTCAAATAAAATAATAAAAGCAAAAAAAAAAGAAAGAAAAAAAGAAAGAATAGACCTCTTCAGAACAGCAGAGCACATGCACACCCACGTTTGAGCAATCTGATTGGGTGGCTCTGCTTGTCATTTGAAGTAGTGAGCGTGGCCATTACAGATGGTGGCATGTACAGTGTTTATTTGCTAACAGTAATACTCAGCATTAGAGAGGCAATACACCATCCATATGTTTATGATGAGTACTCAGTTCATTCAATAATTCACATCATTTCACAAAGCAACTACATATAGATTACAGATAACCATTTTCCATATATGTCTAACTTAAATACTTAAAGTTTTTTTTATTTATACACTATCAATGTTTATCAAAGATAAAAATGTATAGGTGTGTTTTTGGGGAGTTATGTTCTATGTAGCTGTTTTTTGTTTTCTCTTCCTCTGTCTTTATTGTAAGTCTCTTCCACTTGTTGCATTCTATAATGTTCAGATTTTCCCTCATTTGTTCTCATTTAAATAGGATACATATGCTTATGTAAGTGAAATCTTCTCTGCAATACTGAACCAACAAGGTCATGCTCAGAGAAACGTTCTTGCTGAACTCCAGAAAGCTCTAGAGGCCTAAAAATGTTCACCTCCCTTCAAGCACAGGCCAAAACCACATCCCCTGTCAGCGGCTCTGCACGTCAGCGAGTGTTTGCTGAAATGTGTTGTTCATAAGAGTGTCCGTAAGGTCCCTGTTTTCTGTTTGAGCCTTTTCTGTTTAGATGAGTTTAGTCCCACCCTTGTTTATTTTGTGGACATTGGGAAATAATTTCCATCCTTTGTGCAAAAAGCAGCACTCTTTTTTTTCTTCTTCTTTTTTTATGTTTCTTATTTGCTTTTCTACTCTGGTCATACTGAGATGTGATTTGTTGTGTTACCCAACAGCTACTGGGAACTTTATTAAAGCAGAAATTGTCATTTGTTCCTTGTTTAGTTTAAAATGTATATTAAAAATGTTATTTCTAAAATGAATGACAGTCCCCCCCCCCCCATGAGCAAGGAACTAAAGAAACACAATTTTTTGTTCTATGGAAGAAAGTATAGATTTGGGATGATAGCGTTTATTTTTTCTTCTATTCTTTTGACAAATTTTAGGTCCCCTCAAAGAATGAACCTCTATGTGTATGTATATGTGTGTCTGACTGAGTACGCTAATATATTTGAATTTGTGTAATGATGTTTTTGACTTTGATTTCATGTAGTACATGCTGTCGTATGTACGGTGCAAATGTTAAATGTGCTGTACTGTGTTACTTGTAACAATCTGGAGAGCATTCGTTGAGTCTGAAAGGTTGAGAATCCCAGGACTGTGTGAAGTGGATTCTCTGCCAGAGAAGTTCAGGCTCGACTTCCAGAAATTGTTCAGTTCCTGCTGTTCTGAACAGCACCCAGACACAGCATACTGGTGCAGTTTTCACCTCAGGGAGTTTCCTCCATCTTTACCACCAGGGCATGTGTTCATGAAGTATTTCAGATCCAGACAGCTGATCTTGGGTTCTGTTGCGTGTGGGGAGATCCAGACCACACTCTGCTAAAAGTGCTACGAGCGACTATGAAGCTTGATCCCGCCACAGACATATTAGCTCTTCTCCTGTGCTTAGCCGACCCCCCCATTTGAGGATGCTTCATTAGCAAAGTAATTCTCCATCATCTCCTCATGTGTGAGTGTTTTTCTAAGTATTAAACAAACACAGATTTGTTAGACACATTTGACTTTTTAAAGGGCATCGCTCGTTTGTCTCTGTAGAGACGGCGTGTAAAGGGCTTTTTTCCTTTTCATTTTTTTGTTTATTTGTTTGAGTTCTTTGACGTCACTTTGTTCTAACTGGTCTGCTTGATCTTAGTGTGTGTGTGTGTGTGTGTGTGTGTGTGTGAGAGAGTGTGTGTGTCCCCTATGTTCTGAAAAATCTGAATGCATAAAGGCAAGTGCTGAGAATGTTTCTGATCTACCATTTTGTACCAACTTTAAACAAATAAAATCTTAAAAAGCATGTTCAGTATGTCTGGGTGTTAAGTTTTTCTCTCATGGTCACATGAGGCCAAGATGGTCTTATACCTGTTCATTATACCCTATAATATACAAGTTCCATGATATATATATATATGTATATATATATTTTTTTCTATTTTCCACCTCAATATTGTTTTTTAAACATAGTTTCTAAAAATAAATTTCTGAAATCACAAAATGAATTGTGGTTAATTAATATAAAACTTCACCTATAGGCCTACACACGGACTCTCAAGTTCCTGTTAAAGAAGTTGTTCACAATTTGAATCACTACGGTTTTTTTTTGTTTTTTATTTGCGTCTTCTGTCAGTCTGTGTGACTTTATGCAAGTAATAATTTTATGAATTATAAGTGATTCGTTGAAGCATTCATTCAGCTGATTCGAAGAAAGGAAAGGCCATGGCTGCGTCGGGAAACTTGAAAACGAAAAGACCTAAAAGACTTGTAGCCTTATTAGGCAATGACGTAGGGAGCGTTTGCGCATGAGCGAAACTGATTTCGGACAGACTTCTGACAAGCTTTGCTGATAACCAAGCAAATATTTAATTACTACAATAGTATTTTCTCGTTAGAAATAACATCAGAACTGGAAAACATTGGTCAAAAACGTACATTTACATACTAACTCAGACATAATAAATTATGTCTATATATAACTTACACTAACAACCGCAACGTTTAGAAGCCATCTTTACTTTTTCTTTTTTTTTAGCTAACTGTCTGTTACAGAATGGAAAACACAGGATTGTGGGATATCAACGAATATCAAAAATCGACCCGATGAAGGTCAAGGTATCCCAGGAGACAAAAAGTAAAGCTAATTTCACTCGACGTGGCTTGATGCTTTCCCTTCCCTACTGTGTTTTTTTTCCTCGGGGACGAGCAACGGTTAATTCTGCTGTGGCGTGTGAGGTGTTCACGGGCGGAGCAAAAACAGACAGTGTAACTGACAATATACCGCCAAAATGTAAGTTGCTCAATATGAACTTATTGTTTATTGAACTGTTGTATAAAAATAAAATAAAAACAATAACACTGCACGTATGCTGTTTAACAGAATGTCAATAGAGAGATCAAATGTAGAAAATTAAACATAAAATAAAATTTTGTGCAATCATAACGTGATGTAAAACAGTTGAAAAATTATTTTGGTCAAGCTTGGGTAAGTAAATCTAGCCATTTATTAAGTAAAACCAATGAAATGCTTCTGATTTACAGGCATTGTGTACATTTTCTTTGACAAAGTTCCTTTGTCCCTTTAAAAGCATATCAGTTAATAAATTATCAGAATATGTATAAAGTGTGATAATACGTTTATTACAATTAGTATCGCTTATTAAATTATCTCATACATCTTTTTGGAAAATTACCAACTACAAGGCCTACTCGTAGCTTCGCGAATCGCCACTGTCAGGTAACGTTAACGGTAGCTAGAACGTCTCGTAATTTCGGTTGAACGCAGCATAAGCTCATTGTTTTGGTTCAGTAGGAACTGTAAAAGGAGCTGCTGTTTCTTTGTGCCGATTTTTTGTGTTCAGACCGGTTCAGAACTAATGCAATGATTGGACGAGCATTTTTTTGGTCCTGTGACTTCCAAAGAATATATGTATGTTTTAATATATACACCACTTCTATTGTTGATTGCTATCAGGATGTGAAGAGATTTTTAACCAGTAGGCCTAGGCTATATCAAAAAGTGTTTATAAAACAAATCACTAACCCTACCTTTAAACTCTTATTGCCTTCTGGTGTGAATGTGAAAGCACTTTGCAACAGGGTGGCCACAAGGTGGCGAAATAAAAAAAGGCTTTTCCTAAATAATGTCTTTAACTTATTTTTTTCCTCAAAGTTGTTTAAAGCGAAAGAAAAACTTCCAGTCTAAATGAGACTTTCTAGACTAATATATAAGAGATTTGTATGTCAGTACATTAATTAAAATATTCCAAACATGTAAGGGTTTAGTAGTCTGGATGGGAGGTTCAGCTGACCCCAGATCAGACGGTGGATTTTCTGGCATTATAATCTGTTGAGGCAGAACAGAGTCAAGAAAGTCTGGAATAGCAGAGCAAGGCTCAAGTTTCTCACCAAAGAGCCTTTTTTAAATGTGTTCTTCTTAGTTTTGATAGGTCTGTACTTACATAAGTGGCCTCTCCGTCAGCAGAATGAGGGCAGCAGCCAAAATCAAGTCATGTGATGTCCTTCAGGGATATACAGTACTACAACAGCAGAGTGTGTGATGGATCAACGCAGATGTGAGTACAACCCAAACTCCCGGCCTATTTTTTGACTGTGCTACTTAAAAGACAACCCGTAAAATAAGATTAAAATCTGCATCAAGAAGCTTAACTATGTAATATCTTAAGTATAACGAGCCAACATAGAAAACCCCAAACTGGATTACTCTTTGAAACATGGATGCTTTTCCAAACCTCCCTCAAACAGGCCCGTTTCACTAAGCGCCTCAGGAAATTTTATAGTGCATACAAATGAATGAAAAAAGATGAAATATATATAATCTATATATATATATATATATATATATATATATATAATATAAATAGATTAGTAGCAATGACAACAGAAGTTTCTCTTAGTCTACTTAATCATCTTTATAGTGCATACAAATGAATGAAAAAAGATGAAATATATATAATCTATATATATATATATATATATATATATATATATATATAATATAAATAGATTAGTAGCAATGACAACAGAAGTTTCTCTTAGTCTACTTAATCATCTTTATACCCTCTTCTTTGCTTTCATTTGTTCGTCTTTTCCGTATGAGCCCCTAAAGCAAAATCATTTAACATGTCAGCATGGCATTTGAGGTTAATAGTCCCCATAACCCTCATTACTGACCTGAAACAAGATCATGAAAGTCCCATATAGACATGCTGAGTTAACAGTGTGTGTTCAGAGGTGTTCTCAATGGATATTGATTTCAGTCGGATTGTTATTATTGGAGCAGCATTGTGCACAATGACAGTGGTAGTTGAATTAGGATGTTTTTGCATTTGATTTGTTGTATCTGGTAAATGTTTTTACATTTCAACATTAATAATATTAGCCTATCACTGCTATGATAATAAGCAACACATTTCACCGAAGTGTGATGCAAAAAGGGACAAATAACTTATCAAATAACCCAAAATTACCAAATCACCCCTAGATGATGAAAGCACATTGCTTATGTTTTATTATTTTTTTATCATTGGCTTTTTACTTATCATAGCTACTGTTTAAAAAAAAAAGTACTTTTATTATTAAAATTTACAACTAAATAAAATATTTAAAATAGTTAAATGGTTAAAAAAAGTGTTCAGTATGTTTCATGGTTCATCTTTATTATAGAAATTAGTATTGAGAATCGTTATATTCACTGGTATTATTAATGACTACTGAAACACTAACCCCTATATGTACTGATAAGAAAGCACAAAATTCATTGTGATACATTGAGAATGCACTTGAATCGTAAGGCCAGTAAAGACTCACGCTTCTAAATAGAGGCTATTTGATTTGAAGATTAATTTATTGAATGAGGTAATTTGCATCATGCATTCCTGTGCAAAGGATTCATGGTACTTTTCTGGTTGAAACCTCTGCTAACTACTAACTACCACCAGACTCTGGAAAGCAGCTGTGTTGTTATCATTTTAGAGCAGGATCTGTAAGACCTATTTCCTGTTTTTGCTTCAAATGAGCGCATCTTGTTGTGACACTAATACAGTGTTCGCCAAAATAACATTTCATCCCCATGTGGTTATGTTAATGTGACAGGAACTGATTTCAATCCAAAACACTCATAACACAAATGAAAGTGGATTTTTTCAAATTCATCACATTGAACGTTGGACATTTAATTTTGCTTGCTCATTTCCCTATTTTTACAATTAAATTACCTTTGCCATCATCTAATGCTCCCTTAAAGTTAATCTTTAAAAACACCAATCATTTAATAGCACTGTTAAATGTATCTTTAGCAAATCTCAAAATGAATACCCATGTTTCTAACTATACATACAATTTCAGGACCTCTTTGATCCTAAATCACCAATGTGTGTGTGTGTGTGTGTTTCCTGCTCCGTGTGCAGGTTATTAAAAGCAGGTTTAATGCTTGGCTGCTTTCACATTTACGGACCAGTGGAACACAATAACCTCCTGCCTCCAGGGAGTCTGGGAGGCCTTGTGTAGAGCCCTTAAACACTGCTGCAATGTTAGACACTCTTTTTACTTTCTTTCCCTTCCTCGTGCACATACCTGTTCCCTCGCTTCCTTATTCCTGTTCATTATTTACTGTCGAAAACAAGCATGCGTGTTTAATTTCCAGGGAGTTTCTGTGAAATCCACCTTGAGCAGAAATGAAGATATATTCACTGCTAGTGTTCTGTTACATATTGCACTTTATTTAGTTCCATAGAACTTTCAGGATCTAGAACAGATTCTAGAACACAAAGATGGAAACATCATCCTTCACTGTCGCAGAACGCTTATTGCTTTGCACTTTATTTCACATTTTCGAGCAAGCAGAACAGAGGACGCTGACCCTGAAGGGTCAGTTTGCGATGCCATAGATACAACAAGAGACATACTGAATTCTCAGAGTAAAAAACGAAAACAAAACACAATCAAAAAGACTTGTTACACATTAAATTTGAAAACCACTAAAGGAAAAACACACACATACTACTACAAAACTAGACAAAACAAAATGTCTCTGGAATGATGTGGAAGTTGTATGGTGTCTGTGGCGCTGTGTGCTGTGTTCAACACCATTGATGGAGGCTCTGAGAGTGGCAGGTGTGGGTTGGTTATGTGATTTGGCATCCGGGTCACGGCACAGAAGTGCTGTCTTTTATTTTCCATCATGGAACTGGCCGGAATGTTGATTCTGTCTCCGTGGTTGGTTATAATGATGAGGACAGTGGCAGGTGTGGATCAGTCGCGTGATTCTGCATCCAGGTCACATGACACAAAGGCTTCAGTGGTCCAGGATCCGAAGGTTTCCGGACACTATTTTGTTTTCCAGCATAGAGCCAGCCGGAATGTCGATTCGGTCTCCATGGTTGGCTATGATAATGACTGTTCCCTGGAGAGGACAGAGGAATAATCAGACTGTGCAACATCCTGCAAAAACATCTGATTGCAGAATTTAAGGTGTTCCTTACTATTACCTTCAGTGAGACTTGCTTTCCGAAGGTCACATCACCAGACACGGTCAGGTGATCCAGCTCTAGCATGTCTGGAATGCTCTCGAATCGTGAGATATATTCCTGAACCTGAAAGACAAGAGAGAACTGGATCAAGGCTTGCTAAGTATTAGTTGAGAATGATTGTTCTGAAACAAAAGCTGAGATCATGAGGATGTCCTTGTTTTCAAATCTTAGTGGGTTTCTGCCTGGAAGACTTGGTAATGTCACATTGGTAATGTGATCTAGTGTGAGAGGAACACCGTGTGTTTTGAATGGATCATTTGTTGTGAATGCTTCATTAGGTGCGGTACCTTGGTAAAAGAGCTGCCTAGTTTGACGTGAGGAGTTGTGGGAAACTCGCGCCTCTTGCTCATGGTCAGAGATCCTGCCTCCAGGCTGTACAGATTGGACATAACCAGTAGGAGGTCAGATGTGGTTTTGACAGGCAGGAAGCGGCTGCGAGGCACGTTAATGCCCAAGGCATTATCAAAGCACTTGATGGCTGCACCCACGGCAGTCTCTAGCTGAATGACATTCAGACCCCCGTCTATAGTCTGAAAGAGAAAGAGAAGGATTTTAAACAACAGTTTTGTAATTCTCTTAAAATTGTCAAACAAATGAATTATTTGTACATCACACAGTCGCCATAAATTAGGTTAAAATTAAATTTAATAATAATAATAAATTGATCAAAATCTTAAAACATTATATCTAAATGCAGGTTAAAAAACAAAACATAAAACCCCCCTCAAATATTCAGTGTAGTCTAATACCCCACTGTGTATAAAATTGGACCTAAAATGATTTTTAAACCTTAAACGGATTATTGAAAAAGAAAAAAGATAAAACTGTAGGGTGGGGACTAAATGAGTGGAGAAGTCGAGCATTCAGTACATCACCAGTTGTCACTCCAGTTATGACATTTTCATAAAAAAAATTACATTGTGAAAAATAAAACATATGCATGGATGACTCATTCACAATAAGATCGATAGCATGCATTTAGAAAACAGGTTCATATTCATGTTATTTGTCAAGTAACCATGTAAATGGCGGTGAGGAAGTGAGAGGTATCACTGCAAGCACTGTGAAGGCGGTCTTGGTATCACACATGCAGAAAAGGCGTAAGGTTGACGGGGACAGAAGTGGGTGGGATTGGATGTAAAGAAATCTAGAACAGACTCTATCTAGATTAGAACAGACTTCTGCCTGGGCCTCAGGGGGAGAAATTGTGCTACAATACGAAGGAGTGAATTACTTGTCCCTTGTAAACTGGAAATGCTGCATTGTGTTTGGTTTGGGCACAGTGATGGAATAAGAAAAATAAAAATTGTATTTTATGTATCAGTAGTTTTTCCAATTGATGAGGTCCCTGTATGTCCTCAAAATTAGTTTTTTTTTGCTCACTTCTAAAAAATTTGTCCCCAAAGTATAACTATATAAACTGACACACACAAAAACACCTCATCTTATGGTTACCTTTCAATTCTGTAGTCTCCTGTGATACACTAAGAACAGAAAACCCAAATTAAATTGTTTATAAATTTACTTTTTACTGTCAGTTGTAAAACACTCCATAAATCCCCTGATCACACTCTGAAGCCTTGGCTCGAACTAGATCCCAAATGATTATCTACTCAAATCAGATATTGGGTATGGTTCAAAACAGACACTCAAACACAGTCTCCACAACATTAGCTTGTTAAAGTGCTTGTGTAAAGAATAGACTGTTAAATAAAGATGGACAACTCGTCTCCACTTCCTTCCACTGTAGAAAAATGAAGCCAAAATATCCCAGAAACAGTCATTGCAGATTGTCATTCGGAGCCCGAGTCTGCGCAGTAATGATCCTGAGGTGGACCCGCGGTATAAAGGTCCTGCCCATACTTCTGCTTCCTCAAACTAAATCGCAAGCCCAGCTGTTATTCATGACGTTACACCCCGTTTTTATAGCATCAAATATCTAACTAAACCCACACGTATTAGGAAAATTAACACTAAAAATGACAGAAACCATCTTTGCAAAAAATTATTTGGAGTGTAATTGGATTTCTTACATTGGGTCGCGTCCCATTCGATTATATGGAGAGGGCGGGGTTTTTGACCTATACTTCAGGCAGTCACCAGGGAGCGATCAACATGCTTTGGCTTCACTTTTCAGGACATGTGCGGCACACTTGATGTAAAGCAGGGGTGTCCAAACTCGTGCTGGAGGGCTACTGTCCTGTAGAGTTTAGCTCCAACTTTCCTCAACACACCTGTCTGGAAGTTTCTAGTATGCCTAGTGAGACTTTGATTAGCTGGATCAGGTGTGTTTAATTGGAATTGGAGCTGAACTCTGCAGGACAGTGTGGCCCTCTAGGAGCAGGACTGGACACCGCTGGTGTAAAGGGTTTTGTAAGTGGGTTTGATTCACAAGTGAACACTCTGCAAAGGAGACTGCTGAAGCGCAGTGTTACAGGGTCCCATGTGGCCTGATAAATGAATCATGGTCTCACCTAAGGTTTCAGAAGTGGTAGTGTAAAGAAGAGGAAGGCCAGGGAAATAAAACAGAGATTTCTGGAGCATAGCTAGAAATCGTGCTTTACAACAAAATTAAGAGTGACTGTTGGGGAAAGGAAGACTTGGCAAGGGAAATTAAAACAACAAAATTAAGAAATTCAAGTGTCTGGTGACTGGTCTAATAGCTGTTCAAATAATCCTTTCATTATCATTACATTAATTGATGCATTTGGCAGACACTTGCGGGACACTCAAAAAACAGTAGTATTTATGGACCCTAATAATCCCGTTTGTAATCGAAGTAGCAGCACAGTCGGAAAAAAAAAGTCATATGTAACCATGTCAATTGCAATGAATTGGCCAAACCCAATTTAAATTCTATTTGATTGTAAGGGGTGGTTAAAACTGTTTCTAATTAATTCGATAGGACATGTACACTTGGATCTGATTTTAAACTAGGGATGTCCCGATCAGGTTTTTTTGCCCTCGAGTCCGAGTCCGAGTCATTTGATTTTGAGTATCTACCGATACCGAGTCCCGATCCGATACTTATATAATACATAAAAAAAGAATAAAGAAGAGAGAAAAAACAGATCCAGGATGTTCCTTATTTTTTATTTAATTCACCTTATTTTAACATTCAACAACTCTGTTAACAAACAGAGCACTTCTGTGAGGTTGCTTGAACAATCAAGTAATAAATAACATAAAATCTTCACTTTTGGACTTTAGTGCTACAGTAAATATAGAAAAAGTCTAATATAAAAACAAATAGCACCTCAACTTAAAATACCCAGCAGGGATGTAAACAAAAAATAAAAATGTTTTAAAAGTGTATAAAAAATTTGAATATATATATACATTAGGGGTGTAACAGTTCACAAAATTTGCGGTTCGGTTCGATGCGATACAGCAAAAAGAAAGAAATGCCAGAGAAATGTCCTATTTATTAAAAGAAAACCTATTTTTAAATAAGTTTGAGTTTTCCTACATCTTGAAACTTTCAGGTTTATAAATGGGGGTAATCTTTGAAGGATGAACAAATAATGTTTTGGTAATCACATAAAAAATAACATTTAAATATATATTTATATAATATTTGAGTTTTGAAGTGCAACATTAAATCCATGTTCATTCACGACACAATGTTTCTCCTGGTTCCCACGTCAGCGCTGTTTGATCTAATAGAGATCTATGGTTAATAAACGGAGAAATTTGAATGCTTCTCACTAGATCTCGCAGCGATGTTATTACTTCAGTGGCGAATTCAAATGTTTTCTTCACTGGATCTCTTAGCGCTGTGTCGCTTGATCTCGCGCTGCACAGATGTTGCTGGTCCGAACTGATAAACGGTCCGTTAAGCACAATATAATGAGAAGCGCATTTTCTTTCCGCTTTCATTACGTTTGCCATTTGATGTTGCGCAACGTTGTGGTGATCGCACCAGCGCGGATTTTGTCTGCAGGAAAAATGGTCCTAGGAATCGTTTGGTTTGTATGGGTACCGAAACGGTTCAATAATTACGAATACATGTACCTTTACACCCCTAATTTACATATATCCGAGTCCTGATCGGGAGGTAACGTCCGATTCCGATCGAGTCTGAAACCACGTGATCGGGCCCGATTTCCGATCGCGTGATCGGATCGGGACATCCCTATTTTAAACTGTAACTGGATTTGAAATAAAATCCAATGCACATAAACGCGCACACCTACCTGATCACTTATTTAGCGTTCTTGTAAACATTATGTTCCGATTCATCAATCAAAATGATTTAACTCCGACTGAAACGAAAAGTGTCCATGTAGATAAAAGACTTATTATATGTAACTAGTGCTGCCACTAACGACTAATTTTCTAACGACTAATCTTTCGACTAATTTTTCGATCAGTCGACTAATCTAAACGAATAATTAAAAAAAATCAAGTGTTTATTTCGTTGTGTCCATTTTATTTTGAACTCAACTGAAGGGCCACAACATAAAATGTCACCTGTTCAAAAACATTATGTATTAACAATCTAAGCATTAAGTATCTGCATTTCCATTAGGCTATTCCATATTAGTCAGAGTCCTAATCTAATCCTCTAATAACAAACATGTATGTATTACTTAAATTAGCTCTTTGTTCTGCCTTAAAAAATGTACAGTAAGCTAATAATGATTAATTTATGTACATTTCTGAAAAGCATAACTGATAACATCACTCTGAATAGTAAAGTAGATGCAATGCATTTTCTGTGAAAAGCGCTATACAAATAAATTGGAATTGAATTGAAAGAGTCTGGACTAGCCCACTATGAGTCGCGCTGAAAGCAGGCAGGCACGCAGTTATGTAGCTCGCGTTTACACTTGCGTGCATGGAGGGCCCGTGCCGCGGTTCGCGTGAATGTGAAAGCAACACGGACTCGGGAGCGCTTGTTCAGGAAGTTAAGTAACCTGCCCATGCGTTTTAGCTGATTATGATGCATTTAGTTAAATAAAACACATGTAAGGGATGATAGTGTAGTGTTGATGATTTACCTTGGATACGCGAGAGTTGAGTCTGCAGTGTATTCGCGCATTGCGCGTGCAATCAGGGCAACACATTTGGAAATCCACTGTCTCCTCAAAAGAGTCCGTTTGAAAAACACAATATATTGACCCGCGTTCTGTTTTCTATCATGCGCCATGCACGTTTGCGATGGCATAAGATGCACGCAAACGCAACAGGTGTGAAACCAGACCAACGCTGCGGGGGGCGCCGGGAACAATCGCGCTCGCGCTCGGACTCGGACCGCAGCAAACGAGCCCACTGTGAAAGCTCCGTCACCTGCCTCCGCAATTTTTCATATCAAAGCAGTGAAGGCGGGCGGGAACGTGAAGGAAAATGATAGCAGATAAACCAGCAGGGCGCGCGCGGCGCACAGACTGGTGTGTGGAGGTGAATTACAGTGAGCCGTTTGTGACGGGAGAGCAAAAATAAATAGCGGTCAATAGTAAAACAACACGTCGACTAAAAAAATTGCCGTCGACTAATTTGCATGGTCGATTACGTCGACTAAGTCGACTAATCGCGGCAGCACTATATGTAACATCCTGATTTTCCACACAAGCTGCGGTTTCTGAAAGTTTTTACAGTTAGAGTTTTCCTACCTTAGGGTTTACTATGATTTCCATGTCCATGGCATTCTGTTCCTGTAGTCTCTGTATGGCAGATAGGGAGATCCACAGGTTGTTGGTGTTGAAGATCTTAAACTTGGTCACTGATTTGAATTCATCAACATGAGCCTTGGGAACCTGGGCGATCTCCAGTAACCGAAGCTTACCATCATACTGAATGAGCGTACCTCCCTAGACAACAAAAACATGAAACATTCAAAGAAAATACAACAAAAGCCTCGTTCCCCACAAATAAACCTCATTTATATATATATGCATGAACAAATCTTTTACCCAAGCCAATGAATGTAAAATCCTAAGTAAATGCAAATTATTGAATTGCTTGTGTAACAAGAAATTCTCAGAACAGATATATTTTTTTTTGTCCAAGTCACACTGTTGTTTTGTACTACTGTACGATATCACTCAAGTAATATTCTCTCACCTTCACATCTGCTCTGGTCTTGTCTGTGACCTCCATGATAAACTCACAGCGTTTGCCATTTGGCTGGCTCACCAGGTGATTCAATATACACAAGTCTACAGTTGCGCCCAGGTTATCGATGTTGGAGACAAAAATATACTCCTTTCCTTCAGCGATGAGCTGCTCCAACAGACCAGAGTTATAAAAGCTGGCATAAATGTCACCATGACCAGGTGGATACCACACATCTGCATTCTCTCCTGTCATACCCATGTCCGTAGCGACCGGCAACAAAGACTCCTTATTTATCCGTGGATACCTGGAAAATTCAGAGAAAGAAGTCTGAATTTCTAATATAAATTTGTAATACTGAGCATCGAATTTGTTATCGTCCATGTTGTTATTGTTAACTAAAAAGTTACTAAAATTACTATAATAAAAGATTTTAAAAAAAGATAATTCTAAATATTAATAAATACTATAATATACAAATAATACTAAAACAACAGTAGTCCATAATATGAAAATGATCATCACTATCATGTCAAAACTTTATTTTTGCGTCACTCATCACTAAAAACTACAAGTCATAAAATATATTTTACAGAAAGAAAAAACAAGCCTTGTTTATGATTATAAGCACACAAAAAAATACACTGCTTTGCTTATGCAAATATGTTTTCAGAGGGGCTCTAAAATCTTCTCTGGCTCCTGCATTTCAGGCTTATTCAGGTCAAATGAAGCCAGGGAAAACATCTGACGTTTTATGCAGCCTTCATCCTCCTCCTCTTCCTTTCATCACATTGTCTCTTCCACAAGCTTCAGCTTCAACCGGGACTGAGTATGTGCTGTCTTTAAGCACTGTATTCTAAATAGCATATGTAACCGTACCCCACGAGTGTCTGTTGTTAGCTTTGAGATAGATTTCAACTCTGACAAGTCCATTAAATATTAACGTATCTCTATTATTGCTTAGAAACCTCATCAATCTTTAACTTGTTTTTACAAAACTTTTTAAGTGTTTGCAGGCTAAGGGTCAGCAGCATGCATTATGAAGGTGAAGAAATTCAGCTTTTTTCATCCTGCGCTAAAACCTGAATGACAAAATGCGTTTTTGTTAGATGAGTGTGCTAATGCGATGTCATCAGCGGAGTGGTATTTTGTGCGCAAACTACATATGTCACATTATTGCTGTGTATATATCTGTGGTTTGTGTATTTAGTTAGCTATACTCAGAATACTTGCTATGAGAAGTCAGATAAATCTTAAAAAACCTTCCTTTCCTAGATATAAAAACTATGAATAAATGCAGTTGCATGCCCATTCAAACCGAGGGGGCACGAGCCCCATCAAAGGATTTGAATGCAGCTTCCAAAAGACAAAAATGTATATTTTTACATTTGGTTAACCCTTTGAAGCGCATGATCACATTAGTGTGATTAGAACGTTCAGTGCGTCACGTGATCAACTTCTAAATCTAAATCTGCGTTCGCGCTTTAGCTGAACCAGAGACTGACTGTTTAGGGTTTTCAATCATATAATGGTTATTTTATGTTTCTGACATTTAAATACAGATAAGTACTAGCAAAAACACATGTATAGTTTGTAAAATATACATGGATGTCTATGGAAGCAGCAATAATCCTTTCAAATATTTGTCCTTTCAGTTAATTTGACAACCTGTTTTATTGAAATCTGATACTCTAACATTGCGTAGGTAACTATAAAGTTTAAAGTAATACCTGCTCTGGTTGAAAGTGTGTATCTTGACCCTGTGGTGCGTGTATTTCTGTAAGATCTTCTTGGTGTCTTCATCCGTATTGAAAGAGTTCATTAGCACCAGTGGAACATCAGCGTTATATTTTTTATTCAAGTGCTGAAGAGACCAAAGGAAAAAAAAATTACTTACTAAAAACATTATCAAGCAAGTTAACTCATGTTTTATCTATTAACATTGTAAACAAGCTAACAATGACTGTGATCCCACAATGTCTCTCATTAATACTATTAGGTTGAATCTCTGATTTGAGAGGTTCAAAGTGTCTGAGACACTTTAGCAGGTTTATTACATTCTGCACATAGCACAGTCTGTTTTAGCTGGGATAATAGATACGTTTAAATAATAAAAGTTATTATTTAGACAGCAGTGCTGTAAACGTGTGATCTTTAACACCAGAGTCAAGCTGATAAAACACGGTCTCAGATGGACATATACATCTCTCCTATCTAATCTCTACAGTTACACTGTTGTGATGAACATGGTCAATAATTTATCAGAACAGAAGTATTAGGTGAATTGGCTAATATCAACAGAACTGCAATAAACACAGAATAGGTAAAAATAAATAAATAAACCCTTTACTAAAAAGGCACAAGTGTCCAAATGAATGCCGATGCCTTTCAACATAGCACAAACATACATAAACTATCTTGTGAAAGTTTAGTCACACATTAAAAAGATTAAAACTTTTTTTTTTTTTTTTTTTACAATCATACTAGGGGACAAACCTTCATCTAATTGAAGAATTACCCACAAACACAAACAATTTCCCTGTATTAATGGTACCTGTCCTAATAACTACAAAGTTTGTAAAAAAAATTACGCATCATCCTCTTTCAGAAACTGTTGGATGTGTTGACAGATTTTAGGTCAGTTTTCTGTAATGAAGTCCTAGCCAAAGAGAAGCCAAATGGTATAAACTGGCCTAAGGGCTTGCTAAAGGCCTGCCAAGCACAGAAACGACAGCCTGTATTTCTGTGGGAGAAGGACAGATTACCTATTTACATGTACTAATAGGCCTTATTCAGTGAGCAGGATATCTGACGACATGAGGCAGGTAAATGGTCTGCCGAAGAGACACTGCGCTGAGTGTTCTTCAGTGAGGGCGTCCCACAGGGCTCAGTATTCTGCCCCTATCTTTTTCCCTCTTGCCCAGAACACAGCCCTCTCTGTTTCGTTTTCACCCTAAGTTCTCTTTCATGCACACTACCTAAAGTCCATGGCACTGAGAAAAATAACCAGCACAGAGCCTGTTGCTCCTGGTGTAAAATGCTTGCTCTGTATAAATTAAGGAATGTGCCTGTGTTTTACAGCTGTAGATGAGGAGAGCAAGAGAAGGGAAAGCCAGAGGAGCATATGTTTGTGATTTAAAACTTATGGGTGGAGGTCTATTTGCTCACTTTCAAATCTCTCAGACAGCTGCTGCTTTTTCCACAGCTGCAGTGATTTATATTTCTTTGGATTTAAATCTGAGAATCTCTCCTATTTGAAATACATTTACAAGAGACAATAATTGAATGTGTGTCCTCTACAGATAAAAACACTGAAGGATATTAGAAAGACATTATCTTGCAAAATGTGCAATGAAAAATGCATAGAATTGTAGTAATAAATGTTTTTCTTTTTTTTTACCAAAAGCTGATTACATAATAAAATGCAAATTATATACAGTAGAGAGGAAATTTTCGATTTCATGGAAACAAATAAACTAGACAAGTTTAAACCAAGGGGTCGATGTTTAGCTTGTTAGCATGGCCACTTTAGCCCCTGCTGAACAACTGTCATTGAGATGAATGGGAAGATATTATAGACCTCCATGGATTAAACTATAAACACAGTACTGCAATCTGCCAGTGTCATGTGACAAACCTCGATCTGTTGGACGGTCAGATCCAGGAAGGTATTCTCGTTACGGACACTAATCAGGCTCTTGGGCCCTTTGCAGCCCATGCTGGTTCCCAGTCCTCCATTCAGCTTCACAACCACCAGCTTATTCAGACTGTCCGCTATGTTGTCTGGTATACCCTTCACCTTAATCTTATCGTATGGCTGGATCTGAAACAAAGACAAGAAAGAGAAACAACTGTCAGTCAGGGCATACAGTCGTGCTCAAAAGTTTACACACCCCTTGCAGAATCTGCAAAATGATAATTATTTTAACAAAATAAGAAGGATAATACAAAATGCATGTTATTTTTTTTTATTTAGTACTGTCCTGAATAAGATATTTGACATAAAATATGTTTACATATAGTCCACTAGACAAAAAATAGCTGATTTTATAAAAATGACCCCGTTCAAAAGTTTACACCCTTAATTCTTAAAGGGTTAGTTCACCCAAAAATGAAAATTAAGTCATTAATTACTTAGTGCTGCTTTAAACTGCCAAATGTTCTTCAGAAAAATCCTTTAGGTCCTGCAAATTCTTCAGTTTTCCTGCATCTTTTGTATATCTGAACCCTTTCCAGCAGTGATTGTATGATTTTGAGATCCATCTTTTCACACTGAGGGACTCAAACAGTTATTAAAAAAGTTTACTGATGCTCCAGAAGGAAACACGATGCATTAAGACGGGGGGGAGTTTTCATAGTTTTTAAAAAAAAATTGAATTTGAAGATCAAGGTGAATTGTACTTATACATGTAAGTATCTTCTTTTGCTTTCGAATGGCAGTACTAAATAAAAATAAAGAAAGCTATTTAAACCAAATAAGAAAAATGTGGACATCTTCATCCTGTTCAAAGGGTTTCACCCCCCAGCTCTTAATGCATCGTGTTTCCTTCTGGAGCATCAGTGAATGTTTGAACCTTTTGTAATAGTTGTTTTTGAGTCCCTCAATTGTCCTCTGTATGATTTTGAGATCCATCTTTTCACACTGTCATTACTGGAGGGTTCAGATATGCAAAAGATGCTGGAAAACTGAAACATTTGCAGGACCTGAAGGATTTTTTTAAAGTACGTTCGGCAGTTTAACTGTCATGGATCATCCAGGTAACGACACAATATTAAAGGGTTAGTTCACCCAAAAATTAAAATTAAGTCATTAATTACTCACCCCCATTTCATGGAAACAAATAAACTAGACAAGTTTAAACCAAGGGGTCGATGTTTAGCTTGTTAGCATGGCCACTTTAGCCCCTGCTGAACAACTGTCATTGAGATGAATGGGAAGATATTATAGACCTCCATGGATTAAACTATAAACACAGCACTGCAATCTGCCAGTGTCATGTGACAAACCTCGATCTGTTGGACGGTCAGATCCAGGAAGGTATTCTCGTTACGGACACTAATCAGGCTCTTGGGCCCTTTGCGGAAAAAAACAAAAATAACGACTTTATTTGACTATTCCATTGCTTCCTTGTGGCCCTGAGACGAGAGTTCAAGAGATTTCCAGGACGCATGCGCGAGAACTGACCTTCTTCTACTACTACACAGCGCGCGTCTTACAAGCAGAGGAAGACGCGCGCTGTACATTGTAGTAGAAGAAGGTCAGTTCTCGCGCATGCGTCCTGGAAATCTCTTGAACTCTCGTCTCAGGGCCACAAGGAAGCAATGGAATAGTCAAATAAAGTCGTTATTTTTGTTTTTTTTCCGCACAAAAAGTATTCTCGTCGCTTGATAAACTTATAGTTGAGCCACTGTAGGCACATGGAATATTTAAACATTTTCTTGTTTTCTTGGGTTGGTACAGCATGGGGGTGAGTAATTAATGACTTAATTTTAATTTTTGGGTGAACTAACCCTTTAATATTGTGTCGTTACCTGGATGATCCATGACAGTTAAACTGCCGAACGTACTTTAAAAAAATCCTTCAGGTCCTGCAAATGTTTCAGTTTTCCAGCATCTTTTGCATATCTGAACCCTCCAGTAATGACAGTGTGAAAAGATGGATCTCAAAATCATACAGAGGACAATTGAGGGACTCAAAAACAACTATTACAAAAGGTTCAAACATTCACTGATGCTCCAGAAGGAAACACGATGCATTAAGAGCTGGGGGGTGAAACCCTTTGAACAGGATGAAGATGTCCACATTTTTCTTATTTGGTTTAAATAGCTTTCTTTATTTTTATTTAGTACTGCCATTCGAAAGCAAAAGAAGATACTTACATGTATAAGTACAATTCACCTTGATCTTCAAATTCAATTTTTTTTTAAAAACTATGAAAACTCCCCCCCGTCTTAATGCATCGTGTTTCCTTCTGGAGCATCAGTAAACTTTTTTAATAACTGTTTGAGTCCCTCAGTGTGAAAAGATGGATCTCAAAATCATACAATCACTGCTGGAAAGGGTTCAGATATACAAAAGATGCAGGAAAACTGAAGAATTTGCAGGACCTGAAGGATTTTTCTGAAGAACATTTGGCAGTTTAAAGCAGCACTAAGTAGGAATTCCGTTTTTGTCAAACAGCGACCCCTAGAGACGCTGTGGAGTACTTGTACTGTCGTGAATAGCACTCACGCAGAGATGGCTCGCACGCAGAGATGGCTCGCACTCACGGCCGGATCCCCTCCCCCTGTACACCGGTACCTGTTCAGTAGGATGGATGCTGTAACGAGTGGAAATAAGGTATGACCCCTTTAAGAGCTGCGCGCGCCCAACACCACATGTATACGGCACCGGTTTATTTCTGTTTGATGCTCATTTTATCAGAATTTTATCAGATCTGTTTTTTGCCGTAAAGCAATTCGTTACCTCGCGAGACCTGATATCACACGATACTTCTCGCCGGCCCAAAGTTGCAAGGGTGGTTTTGTGGCTCACAGGCACCAGGGGGGTGCGAGACGACCACCATTCAGCACGAAACAGTAATATAAACATTACAATGACTCCAAAGCTGTTCGGTTAAGGTAAAAAAGTTACTTAGTTCACCTTTAACTGTTCATGATGAACAAGGGACTCAAACAACTAAAACAAAACAAAAAAACAGTTGTGGATCATCCAGGTAATGACACGCAGGGTCGTTAAGGGTATGTAAACTTTTGAAAGGGGTCACTTCTATAAATTCAGCAATTTTTTTGTCTTGTGGACTATATGTAAATCTTTTATGTAAAATATCTTTTTAAGGACAGTACTAAGTAAAAAAATAGCATGAATTTTGTATGCTCCGTCTTATTTGTTAAAATAATTAACATTTTGCAGATTCTGCAAGGGGTATGTAAACTTTTGAGCATGACTGTACTTAATTTTTTTCAGCATCTGGAGGTTTATATTTTAAGGACTGGAGTTACATCCAGTGACCACACTGAAGTTTCTAAATTTCATCCAGATGCTGTTGCTATTGTAGTCTATGGTTGCCTCATTGGATTCTTCTTCTACGAAAAATCTAAAGCGGTCAGAGGTCAACTGTTGAGGTTAGTGAGCTGTTATGATCATGCCTGCGGTCAATTTTCAAGAATCACTAGGATCAACTTACAAGCACACCAAACAACCACCACACACATTGTGCAAGCACAACATTTCTCATAGAGACAGAAACAAATAGCCATGTTTAACCGAATAAACAGTCCAACTGCTGGATCAATATGGCAAGTGGGAAACAGGAAGGCGAGAAGAGAAAGAATTATGGATGTGTTTTTGAAAAAGAAAAGAACCATTCCCTTTTCTTCATTCCCCTTGTTTCCTTGAGGGCCATAGAGCAATGCCATGAGGCATCACTGATGAGTCAGATACCAATAAAATATCACCACACACACGCGCTAATATTTAGCGCACAAAGCCCCAGTTTCTGTTATTATGACAAGATAAGAACAAAAACACAAACACGAAGAAAGAAAAGGACAAAGATCTTAAAATCTACATTTCCATGACATAAACAAACAGACAGATGGAGAGGATGATGCAACCAAGTTCATCTTGTTTGTTAGGGAGAAATCTGTGTAAGAGGGGGGTAAAGAAGAAAAGAAAAAGTTATTCAGAAAAACAAGTTAAACACAAGCCCCTGGCCTACAGCGTTTCTAAAGATTTCATTGGTCGTTTCAATCATAGTGCCTACACAACGCTCACTCTTAACCCTACGCTAAACCCTAACCATAACCAGTTAGTATAGCTTTGGTAGCACATCCTGATAGATAGCATTACTGTTTGTCGCAATGAGATCCATCAATGATATTTCTGAACTCTGAAATGGATCCTCAAAGTCTGAACTTTGCTCGACAGGGTGAGTAAGTTACTGAGTTGACCAACAAAATCAGCTTTGGGGGGAGGTTTGTGCGCAAATAGTTTGGGAAAAAAGAATGGGAAAAAATTCTTCAATTTCTCAGGTGCTCAGATACAGCAGGGCCATATGTAAGCAATAAGGTACGAGAGGCTGTGCTGTATCGTAGTAACGGCTGAAGGGCGTTGTTAGGCACGACGCGAAGCGGAGTGCCTGCAACCCCTTCAGCCGTTACTTATTACTTAAAATATTATTACTTACTTATAACTTAAAATATTAAAGTAAAAAAAAAATGTATTAGTGCAACTTTCATGAAGTAAAATCACTAAAAGCCTTCCTTCCGCTAGAAAAAAAATAGTCCCTTACCGTGAACAGCAACAACGTTCCAATGTGTAATATGCATGAAAGCTCAAATAAAAACAACAAAGGAACTGCAGTGTTACGCAGTGATAAATAGAACCGTTGGGTGAAGCGGTCATAGCCGTGTTTTATCATGAATAAAGCACAGCTATTGACCAATCAGAATCAAGGATTGGAACTAACCGTTTTATAAGCTGTCACAGTGATCAGATGAAAGAAAAACAGGAGTATAATGGTGCTGCTGATACGACTTATCGTATGCATTACTTGAGCTTTACAATGATCAAACAGTGAGGTTGCCAGCAGAGAGGTTTGTAGCTGAAATCCCTGGGCTACTCATCGCTTGGATCCAAATAGAAAATCCTTTTAAATGGCCTACAATAGATATGTATACGTAGATGCCACATTCGACCGCTCCAGACACGTAGGTGCATCCGCCCTCTTGGAACGGTCAGCATGTCATCACTCTCAGCAAGAATCACTGATGCCACAACATTGCGCAGTTTCTCGTTGTGAAACCGCAGAGATTTAAAT